TCTTTTCTTATTCTCCAGAACTTCTCATTTCTTATATGTAAATTCATTTTTTTCCCTTTCTGGTTAGAATTGAGATGAACAGCAGGACAGCAAAACCCTATCTTTTTTCCCTTATTTTTTATTTTATTTTAGTTCTTGTGAGGGGTGGGTGGGTGTGACATAGCATTTATGTGGAAGTCAGAGAACAACTTTCATTCCAGAGATCAAATTTAGGTTTATACCGTATGAGCCCATCTCACTGGTTCTAAATGGGTAAATGAACTGAACATACAGTTGTTTTCTTGTTTGTTTTTAATCATTGTATCCCATACTGTCCTGAAATTCATTGTGTAGCACAGGATGACTTGGCTCTTTATTGCCTCCACCTCCTGAGTGCTAGGTTTATAGGCATGCGCCACTACACTCGGTTTTATGTTGCTAGAAATGGAAGGTGGTGCTTCTTGTATGCCTAGAAATCACTCTCCTAGCTGAACCATGTCTCAAGCTTACTTTGTGTTTTTTCTGTTAAAGATTTATTTATTTATTATGTATACAGTGTTTGCCTGCATGTATGCCTGAATGCCAGAAGAGGGCACCAGATCTTGTATATGGTTGTAAGCCACCATGGGGTTGTGGGGAATTGAACCTGGTTCCTCTGGAAAAGTAGCCAGTGCTCTTAACCTCTGAGCCATCTCTCCAGCCCAAATTACTTCCTATTTTATATATATATATATATATATATATATATATATTTTTTTTTGTGTGTGTGTGTGTGTGTGTGTGTGTGTGTGTGTGTGTATAGCCTGGGCTGGTCTTCAACTTGCCACTCTCCTGCCTCAGTCTCCCCAAGGATGAGATTATAGGTGTGTGTGTGTGTGTGTGTGTGTGTGTGTGTGTGTGTGTGTAAATCCCCCCTCCCTTTTTAAAGCTAGGCATAGTAGCATATGCATATAGTCTCAGTTTGTGAGGTTCAGGCAAGAATATCACTTGTTCCCAGGATTTTGGCATAATTTTTTTTGCCACATTGTAAGAGCCTGTCTGGTTTGTTTGTTTTGTTTGTTTGAAGTTAAATAATTTTGAAGATTTATTTTTATTTCATGAGTATGGATATTTTCCTGTGTGTGTGTGTGTGTGTATGTGTGTGTGTGTGTGTGTGTGTGTGTGTGTGTGTGTGTGTGTGTTACATGCATGCCTGGTGACTATGGAAGTCAAAATAGGGCTTTGGATCCCTTGGAATTAGAATTAGAGTTGATTGTGAGCTACTGTGCGGGTGCTGGGTTCTCTGCAAGAGCAGTAAGTGTGCCACCCCTCCCTCTAATAAAACAGAATGCAAAAACAAATCACCAATATACAACCTCCTGTAAAATTCCATCCCTCTCTTTAGTTTCTGCTTCTATTTCCTATTCTGTAACACTCTGGAGAGGGCTAATCTAGCTTCTGTGGCTTTCTACTTCCCATTCTCGACTTGATATAAGTAGAGTCATGCAATATGTTGCCTTTTGAATCCAGCTAATTTACTCTGCATATTTTTGTGATTAATCCTTGTAGCATTTGTTCTTTTTTAGACAGAATAATATTCCAGTTGTTTATATAAGTGGTATTTAATGTTTTCATTAATCTGCTAATGGGGCTTTATGTTTTTATGTTTTGGCAATTATGAAGTATGGTTCTATGGATATTTTCTTTTTCTTTTTCTTTCAGTTTTTGAGACAGGGTTTCTCTGTGTTGTTTGGGTGCCTGTCCTGGATCTCACTCTGTAGACCAGGCTGGCCTCAAACTCAGAGATCCACTGCCACCCAGCTCTATGGATATTTCTATACAAGTATTTCATTAGTAGTAAACAAGCAGTGTTTGTTAAAAATAGAGTATTTGTACTGATTTCTTCCATCATGATGGAAGTCGTGGTGGCAAGGGTTTGAGCTGCTGACTGCACCCACAGTCAGGAAGCAGCGAGAACTTATACTCGCTATCATTTACTCTAATTAATGGGTTGCTTTGTAAAAAGATTTTTTTAAGTGTGTGTGTGTGTCTGTCTGTCTGTCTGTGCAGGTTCATGGATATGATTGCAGGTGCCCACAATGGCCAGAAAAATGGCATTGGATCCTCTGGTACTGGAGTTACAGGCAGTTGTGAGGTGTCCAACATTAGTGCTGGGACCTGAATTCTGGTCCTCTGCTAGAGCAGGATCACTGAGCCATCTCCCTAGCACAACGTATAACTCTTAAATCAGTTGACATCTCCCTTGGTTCTTCTAATAGGCTCTGGACTGTTTCACTGCCATGCTTTCTGAGCCGACAAAAAAACTGAAAATGGCAGAAATCATTGGAAGCAAACTGAACATTTCCAAGAAAAAGGTATGTGCTGCCCTATACCCTGCCTGCTTAAAGAAGGCTGGGCTGCCTGGCTAGGTGAGCTCCGTTCCCTGCCACGGTGGCCTGTGCAGTGTCGATTCCTCTTTAGACATTAATGGTCCATTACTACCTGTCAGGATGGAAACCTCCAGGGTAACTCGCTGGTGTCGTACATTCTTAGAGTGAGTTTACTCCTGTCACCGACATCACGGATGCCTTGTTCTCTGGTGTCTTAGTGATCAGTTTGTTTTCAGGCCAAGAATGGTCTCAGTAGCACCTTAGTCTATGCCTCATTGTATACATTTTTCTTTCTCACTGTTTTAGTATTATGTATTTATTTATGTTTTTAGACAGTGCCTCACCGTGTAGCTCTTTCTGGCCTGGAGTGTACAGATCTGCCTTCCTCTGCCTGCACAGTGCTGGGAATAAAGATGTGTGCCACCATCCCCAGCCTTTTGTTTTTCCTTAAATATGAAAAGAAAATAGTTCCAATGAATGGTACTAACTAGGTTCATTAGGTTCAACACGAGATTGATTTTATATTTTAGATCAAGATATGTGTTTTTGAGTGGCTGAGATTGTAACCCAGTGGTAGTATGTGTGTTGAACATTCATGAGGTCCTGAATTCGGTGTACAGAGGGGAGATCTATGCAGTTTTTAAAAGGGATAAGCCTTTGAGCAGTGATACTGGTATTGTTGAAGCCTGCAGAAATGTCTGCGTTAATCAAGGCGTTCTTGAAACCTCATGTCTGTGGTTATAATAGTAAAGAGGTTTGTTGAGCTTTTGCAGTTGTAGGGGTGGTTTAGCCTCAGAATGTGGAGTACCCTCCTGAAAAGAACTTAACTGGTAAGTGCGTTCATCATAGCAAGGGGCATGAAACCACCATGATTGGGTTAGAAGGATCAATGTTTCCTCTACTGATTGGTGCAGGCAGGGGTTCACTTAAGCATTTCGCCTAATTTATTCTTGGCCCAAACCTGAGCTTTATTCTGGGTTCTTTAAGTGATAAGGTAAGAGATGAATGGCTTTTCTGTAGACTTTCAGGAGCCTCTGCTGCAGCTTTTCGTTCTCTCAGACAGACCTTGGATTCTTACTGTGCGTTAGAAATGTAAAGCTGACAAGAGCATAGTGAAAAGCAATGTACGTTTTGTTAGGAGTGGGTTTTTTCTATAGCTCTTGGTAAATGTCAGTGTGTTCACTTTATCTAGGCAGAGGCCTAAGGCTTATTTGGGTGAGTGAAAGGTTCCGTTATAGTTCTTTCCCTGTTGCTAAGATTCAGTCCCCTGACAAAGCAACTTCAGAGAGAAAGGGTTTATTTTGGTCACAGTGCCCGGTGAGAGCCCCTTCAGGGCAGGAAAATGACAGAGACAGGAGCTTGGGAGAGCTGGTCAGAGTACATCTGCAGTCAAGAACCAGCAAAGAGTGCTGTAATTGATGTTCAGCTTGCCTTCATTTATGCAGTCCCGGCACCTACCCAGAGAATAGTCCTGCCCAGAGTCAAGATGGATCTTCTCACTTCAATTAACATAAGCAGGACAATCCTTCTCTTCACAGGCATGGCCAGAGACTTTGTCTTCTGGGTAATGCTAAATGCCGTCAGGTTGGCAATTAACACTAACTGTCTTTGGTACCACTTCTTGGATGTGTGGTCAGGCTTTAAATAAGCATTTAAAAAACTTGGAATGTAAAAGAAACCCTTGACATAACGCTAACTTGGGTTTCTTGGAAGTAGACACTGCTTTCATGGTGGAGGGCTGATGAGAAGGGTACATTTAAGGTACTTTGGCTAAGGAAATGTTTTAAAAGCAGGAAGGTTTTTAACTTAGTTGAAATCTTTCTCTCCCACAGGCTGAATTTTTCTGTAAACTTTATAAACCGGAAATTGTTATTAATGAGTTAGATGTTCAAGTAGGTCGAGTGCGGCTTTTGCGGAAACAGAGTGAAGCTGTTCACATACAGAAGTAAGTGAGTTCACAAGCCTGCATATTGTGTCTGAACAAAGCATGCCTGAGCCACAGTCCTCCAGTTAGATGCATGTTGAGGAATAATCATTTCCAAAATAGGTTCTGGGAACTGTATTTTAATAGCCACTAGGAGCTTGGAACTAATAGGGATCCTTGATCTGATTTACTACGGTTTATTTAGTGAAATAAAGCTCAAGTGGACATCAGGCTGTACTGGTGTGTAAATTCCTTGATGGCTAGTATCATATAAAATTCTAAATAATGGGTATTAGAAATGTGATTTTGACATTGTGCTATTTGAGTTGTAGTCAGTCACACTAGCCATTGAAGTAAAGGCCTACCACAATGTAATGACCTTAGTTTAACTAAATCCCCCTTGTTCTATCTCAAGTCATAGTCACAGATTCTGTTTAGACTCAGCTTCGGGGGAAGAGAGTTTTAACACGTTATAATTACGTAGTATTATTTGAATACTTCCAAGATACATTTATTTTGTTGTATGTCTGTATGATGTGTCTGTGGTTTTGTGTGCTATGGCATGCAATGTAAAGATCACAGGACCACTTTGGGGAGTCTTCTCTTTTCCTTCCACCACTTTGTGGTTTCAAGGGATCAAACTCTGGTTGTCAGGCTTTCATCATGGGCAGTAAATAGCTTTACCCCTGAGCCATTCTCCAGCCCCTGTGTAGGTAAGGAATTGAGGCTAATGTAGACAGTGACTTGTTCAAGAATGTGCAATGCAGGTTATGTCTTAGGGTTGGGTGTCCAGAACCTAGCATCTTAACCACAGCTGTTACCTCGTTATATGTGACCCGGACCAGCTGAACGAAGGTTTAGTGTTTGCAGAGCAGAGTAAATCTGTAGTTTGTATGTTCTAAGAATGGGGTACAATATGAAGACAATTACTCGGGATGTTTCCTCACTTTCCATTGGGTTGGTTTTTATATCCAACACTAAGAAAAGCTTGACCCGCATGTTTGTTTTCCCCTTTTGTTTCCTCTATTTCACTGCTGGCAAGTGCACAAGCTAGGCAAGCACTGTACACTGAGCTACATTCCTGGTTATTATGTGTGAAGTAGGATATTTTTAGATTGCCTGGCTGCCCTGAGACTCGTTATCATTCTGCTGCGTCGACATGCCTGGCCCGGCTAGCTTGTCAATCAACCTTTCCTTTTCCTAGGAAGAAGTACACTTTTGCTGCTACTCGCCCATCCTCTGTTCTCCTTGAGCAGCTTGCAGTGTGTGTCAGTCAAGGGGAGCCTGTATTGTTAGTGGGAGAGACCGGAACTGGTAAAACGTCTGCTGTCCAGCACTTGGCTCGTGCCACAGGTACCTGAGAGGCTTGGGGGGCCATGAGGGGGGAATAGACCCTAATTTGTAGGACTGGCCTCAGACTTGGGCTCTTCTTGCCTTAGCTGCCTGTGTGCTTGGATTGTATGCATGCGTCACCATGCCTGGTTTTATGTTTTTTCTTTTAAATAGTAAATCTAAGGATATTAAAGTTTAAAGTGGACTTACTCTACTTACAAGTGGTTTTCTTGGAAATAACCACTATTAACAGATTGGCTTTATCTTAATTATTTTATTGTCTATATACGCACAAGCACAGGCATGCATATATGTATATATTGTTTCAAAATAAGTCAAATTATACTCAGATGTATGTATGCCACACATACTGCTTTTCTTTTCTTGTGGTATAGCCCAGATTGACCTGCTTATGAGCCTGGTGGTCCTTCTGCCTCTGCCTTCTTGCATAACATTACAGGTAGGTCGCAAGACATGCTTATGTTTGTGCTTAATTTAGTTTATTAGAAAGGCTTTTAAAATGTCTTGCTCCTTTTAATGGCCAAGTAGCATTTTACACTCTGGATATTGATAGGCATCAATTTATTGAAGGATATTTTTGTTTGTTTGTTTGCTTTTTATTTTTTGTGTTTTCAAGAGAGGGTCTCACTATGTAGCTCTGGCTGTCCTGGAACTCACTATGTTGACCAGGCTGGCCTCAAATTCAACAGAGAGTCATCTGCCTCTGCCTCCAGAGTTCTGGGATTAAAGATGTGTGCCACCATCATCCAGTTGGACCAGTTGGAGGATCTTTTTGTTGGTTACAATTTTTAGATATTGAATTCTAAGATTTCTGTAATTAATTGAGAAGGTCAAAGAAAATGCGTTTGTGAAAACTTACTCTGCCTTCTTAAGGAATGCATTGTGATTTTGCATTAAGCTTTTTTTTTTCCCCTGTTTTTGAAAGAACTTGTCCATGTGTAGCCACGACTGGTGTGGAGCTCACTTTGTAGACCAGGCTGGCCTGGAACTCACAGAGGTCTGCCTAGGATTGAAGGCATGCACTATCACGATCTGGCGCCTTTAAATGTCTGAAGTAATTCTTTTCCTTTGTTTTTTAAAGGTCACCATTTGAGAGTTGTCAATATGAATCAACAAAGCGACACCGCAGACTTGCTTGGAGGGTCAGTGTGGTTCAAAAACTATGAAATACTACATTGTGTTTACTGCTAGAGTTGAGAATACTGTTTTCCTACAAAAGTCAAGTCTGTCTTGCTTGGAGGTTATGCAAAGACCTGGGCCCTCCCCCCATCATAATATAGTTGGTTTTTAAGACAGGGTGTCAATGTATAGTCCTGGCTGGCCTGGAACTAACCATATAGGCTAAGATGGCCTCTAACTCATCGGCCTGCCTCTGCTTCTCTAGACTAAATGTACAAAAGACATGTGCCACCATGCTGGTGTTCAACATAGCATTGGACTAGTTTGTTGGTGTATGAGCTTGAGGGCGCATGTGTGTCATCGTACACATGTGGAAGGCAGAAAACAAGTGGCATTGCATAGTATTAGGTTAATTTTATTTGTGTGTGCTTGGAGGTGCATATCTGCCACAGCAGGAAGGCAATTTACCTGAGTTCATTTTCTCTCGCACCCTCTGAATGCTGAAATCAGCACGTTAGGCAGCAAGTACCTTTACCCACTGAGCCATCTCATTAGCCCCTCTTAAATTAAATGACACTTGAAGTCCTTGTGTTCAATGGAATGTTTCAATTATTAAATAAATACTTAAGTTATTTATTGTTCTTTTGTTTTGGGGGACAGGGTCTCTCTGTAGTCTTGGCTAGCCTAGAACTCACTATGTAGACCAGACTGGCTTTGAACTCCAGCCCCTGCTAAGATTAAAGGCCTGTGCTACCAGGCTTGGCTCAAAGTTAATGCTGTTAATGGAGAAAGTTTAAAAAAAGCAAAAGGTATATGTCACCCAATGCTTGTGTTGATCCAAGGAGGCAGTTTTAGAGTCTTAATCCCTGGTCCTCATAAATGTTTTTGCAGGTCTGCTTTTTAACCAGGCATGTCTATAATACTATCTACTTTTATCTAAATATGTCTAAATATGTTTTTATTTAAATGTGTCTTCAGCAGTTTGCAGTTTATGAGTATTCTTAACACAAATGACATTAGTCTTGCATCATTGAATGTGGCCTGAGTCCTTCTCGTCTAAGAATTGGTAGTATTATGCCAGCCATTGTAAGGAGGATGGTTTTGTTCTGTCTTTTTTCCTATTGTTCTGAGGGTTTAACCCTCTCGTGCCTTGCATATAAAAGGTAAGTACACCAATATATCGAGCATATAGAAGTCTGACTGTACCCTGATGGCAGTGAAGAATTTGAACCAGTGCATCTTAAACTACAGTTTTTGTCTGGTTCCGACTTGGTAAATAGAAGATACCTTTTTTTCCCCGTGTTTAACGCACTACCCTGTTAACAAAGGAAAACGTTACATTTTTGTGTAAGTGGAAACATGCCTTATTTTCTGTAATCGGGTCTTTTAATTTATGTGACTACCTTATTTAAGAATCATTGTGTATAAAATGAGAAGGCCAAAAGTAATTTTGAAAACAAATACAGAAATGAGAAACAAAATTCAGTAGTAGTCAACGAGATATGGTAATATCCTAGGCCGGAGAGATGGCTCAGAGGTTAAGGGTACTGGCTGTTCTTCCAGAGGTCCTGAGTTCAATTTCCAACAACCTACATGGTGGCTCACAACCATCTACAATGAGATCTGGTGCCCTCTTCTAGCATGCAGGGATATATGCAGGCAGAACACTGTTCACATAATAAATAAATAAATCTTTAACAGAAAAGAGATGATAATATCCTATTCCTAGAATGTATAATTAGTTTCATTTTTTATAGCCAGGTTGAATACATTTAAATATAACAAATACTGTATTAAATATGTAAGGTTTCTATAGGCCTGAGTGGTTTACAAATCTGTCTTTGTAAAGGAAATTTATTATATGTAAAGGTACTTTAAAATGAAGAGCTTTAAAGCATTTCAGGTTATTTATACTGAGATTACCTTCTGATGGTCAGTCTTTGTATTTATTACCCCAGTGCTCTTTGGGGTTTTTTTTCCCCCCTTTTAAACAATCTTTTTAATTCTGTAAGAATTTTATACAGTGTGTTTTGAACATAATAACCTTCTAACTCCTCTCATAACCACACTGTCTAACTTCCCATACCTTCCTTCCCAAATCTGAGATTTTTTTCTTTGTTTCTTTTTTCTTTTATCTTAAATATTCTTTTCTTTACTCTTGGAGTGCAGTTTGTGTTTCCCAGCTCTTAGTTGCTCTGATTCTTTTGTTTGGTTGGTTCTTGGTTGTTGTTTGGAGAAGGTTTCACTATGTAGCCCGGGCTGGCCCTGGGCTGGCCTTAAACTCGGTATTCTCCTTCTTCTACTTTCCAAATACTGGGATTTCAGGCCTGTGCCACCATACCCTATCTAGACCTTTGTTTTTTGGTTAATTTTAAATGAAAATGTCATTGACCCCCATTGTTACAAATGAAACTCTGGGTTTTCTTGGTGTTAGAGAAGCACTCCACTCTGCAGAGCTGTATGTAACCTCACCCTAGATTTTTGTCGTATTTTTGTTTTATTTAAATTGATCTTCTGGTAGGCAACACACACACACACACACACACACACACACACACACACACACACACACACTCTTTATATTACTTGTGAGAAAAGAAAATCAAATTCTATGAGGGTGGGGATGAAAGAGCTTAAAAGCTGCGTGGAAGGATAGGAGGTGTAGCTGGAACAGAAGAAGTCTCCCAGGAGGAAAGTGTGTGGCATAAAGTAGTAAAATATAGAGCACATGATCATGACACTAAGACTTGGGAAGAGGCTTGAGAGACATCAGGGGAAGAACCCAGTAGGTAAAGCAGGGAAGTTCCTCTTTGGGAGAAATTGAGACTGAAGAGAAGAAAAAAGACGGAAGAAAATTAAAGATAAAAAAAAATGACCAACCCTTAACTTCCTTACCATGCACAGGTCATTCTTAAATAACATTGAAAAGGGACGAATGAATGTGTGAACTCACTCAGGCCAACCCTGCATCATTTATTTTCATATCTTAGCACAGACTGTTTTCTGTTTTATATTTTCTGTTCTTTCATGTATCAGTGTGGAGAGTCCTATTCCTTTGTTGTAGCCATTTTAAGATGAATTCCCAAATATATGTATATCCTACATAGCTATTTATTCTTTTTTGATTTTTTTAAGACAAGGTTTCTCTGTGTAGCCCTAAATGTCCTGGAACTTGCTTTGTAGATCAGGCTGGCCTCGAACTCACAGAGATCCATCTGCCTTTGTGTTCTTAACAGTTCTGGCGCACAGACTCTTCCCTGTGCACTTGAGAGAACTGTGAGGGCTAGGGTGGTGTCACTTGTTCAAGGTAGTAGCTAATCCAGAATGTAAAGCCAGCCTTGTCTTGATGGTCTGTGCTCTTGGTTAGTATAGTGCTGCCTTAGTTGGGTCTAGTCCAGTCCTCAGTGTCTGTAAGATAGGAGTTTTTTTTTTTTTTTTTTTTCCTATTTTTTTTTTTTGATATATATTTTTTATTTTACAATATCATTCAGTTCTACATATCAGCCATGGGTTCCCCTATTCTCCCCCCTCCCACACCCTCCCCTTACCCCCAGCCCACCCTCCATTCCCACCTCCTCCAGGACAAGTCCTCCCCCGAGGACTGTGATCAACTTGGTAGATTCAGTCCAGGGAGGTCCAGTCCCTTCCTCCCAGACTAAGCCAAGTGTCCCTGCATAAGTTCCAGGTTTCAGACAGCCAACTCATGCAATGAGCACAGGACTTGGTCCCACTGCCTAGATGCCTCCCAAACTGATCAAGCCAATCAACTGTCTCACCTATTCAGAGGGCCTGATCCAGCTGGGAGCCGATAGGAGTTTTCTTTAGATGACATATGTGTTGTTTATGTCTTTGACCTGGTCCTGTGCTGTGGTCTTGTTGCTTTGCTTCTCTTCACTGCAGTCTTTCCATTTCAGTTACAGTCATCCCTTTCAGGCAGTGGTCCTGCGACCCTTTAATACAGTTCCTTATGTCATGCTGACCCCAACCACAAGATTATTTCGTTGCTACTTCATAACTGTCATTTTGTTACTGTTCTGAATCGTAATGTAAATATCTGATATGTGACCCCCACTGTCTCAACCCACAGGTTGAGAACTGCTGCCTTAAGTCATAGCAGTTTCTATCACTGGCTTCCTCAAATTCTCTGTTGTCGTCTCAGAACATTTAGAACACATCACAAAGTGTATTTTGGCCAGCAAGGCCATTCATAACAAACTCTGGCACCTCTCCAAAACATGTTCACTCTCGTTGTTGGTGGAGCTGAGTGAAATCCAGCCACAGTTTCCTTTTCCTTTTCCAATCAGTTGAAACCTGTGTTGACTTAACTGGTTTTTAGGTACTAGGTTCAGCCATGTATTAATTATACACTATTCTGGAGTGGCATCTTCTGTCTCTCAGATTCCTGCTTAGTTTTCTTCCTTGTTTGATTTAAGCCTTTTTCAAATGTCCCCTCTTCGGGAGAGCATCTATCACTGCTGTATACATTGCCGGTACCCTTCTTGCTTACTCCTTTGCCGTAGTTCGTGTTAGCATAAACCATAGTACCTAAGCCACTGTCTGGCGGTTTATAGCAATGTTTTCTGTGTTAGCACTCTGATTAAGTTATAAGCTACATAAGACAAGACCTTGTGGGTGGTGCTGATTCAGAGCCTAGCAAATGAAAGATACTCAATGCATCTTACGGAATAAATGAAGTAAGAGAATGCCTAGCAATGTGTTAGTGAAAAAAGTTTGATATTCCCTTTTTTATCCACCATTCTCTGCAACATGTTTCTCTGCTCAAAGCTGAGAGTAGCCCTTGTCTCTGGGCCACCAAGGCTTGCATCTGCCACCCATAAAAACTTCTTGAACCATGGTTTGTCACCAAGTTCCATACATGTTCATTTAAATGTGATTTTTTTTTTATTTTACTAAATAAATAACATATCTTTTGTTGTCCAGTTAGGAATTTCAAACTTTTCATAGTACTTTTAATCTAAAATATTTAATCATTATAAAATTGTCAAATACTTGAAAATAGATCACAGCTGAAAACTTAAGAGATTCTCAGTGTTGTTAGTCATATTTCTGATTTTGATTAGTTTGTATTGTGTTTCCTAGTTTCTGCTTCATTAATTTGTGAATCACTTTTACTTTTTTTAAAGGTTCAAGCCAGTAGACCATAAGCTTATTTGGCTGCCTTTACGAGAGGCATTTGAGGAACTCTTTGTCCAGACGTTTTCCAAAAAACAAAATTTTACCTTTTTGGGACACATTCAGACGTGCTACAGGCAGAAACGATGGCATGATCTCCTCAGACTGATGCAACACGTACAAAAGTCAGCTATTGCCAAGGAAGGAAGGGAGAGCCGGCCAGGTAAGAATGTGAAAGCCCTGACAGTGGGGCTCCTTTGGCAGGTGTGAAAGAAGAATTCGGTGAAAACGAGAGAAGTGGGACTTGGGGGGTCTTCAGGCGAGAGTTTTGAAGTGTTCCTGCGCCGTACTTGGAGACATGGTTCTGTTAGGCTAGCCGGATGCTGCTGGTGTACAGCACTGCCTAGTAATCAGCGTGACATTTGATCTGAGAAAGAGCTGGCTTCTGCGGTAAGCAAGCTTTAGGGAGCTTAGTGGTCTTCACTTTGCTTCCTCACCTATGAATGGAAATAACGTTGACTGCTTCTAAGGGGAAATGCATTACACAATACATGTACCAGTGAGCTAATGGTGACTGGCAAGTGGTTAGCATTTTTAAGTGTTTGGATTTTGTCCCTTACACTTTGTCTAACACTCTTGTGTTTCACAAATTTTATGGTTTTGTGTTTGAAAATCATACTTTATCCGTATACAGCATATTTATTTACTTTTGTATTACTTAGTCAAATTATGTGACAACTTTAAGGGAGGGAAGATTATTTTAGCTTGTGATTTAAGATTAATTCCAGTCCATTGGGATGAGGAGGTGTGGCAGGCAGCAAGGACAGTCCCATCTGTGGCAACAGGAGAATAAGGTGATAGTTGGTCACATCAGAGTGAGCCTCACAGCAGAGAGCAGCTGGAAGTCGGTTCTCTTTTCCCACCACATGGGTTCCTTGGTTGGAACTCAGATTGTCAGGCATGGTGACAAGAGCCTTTCTTCACTGAGCCATCTTGCCAGCTCTAGAGAGCAGCTGTAACTCAGGGCCAGGGTTTTGTTTTTAAAGGGTTGTTGTTAAGAGGCCTATTTCTTTCCAGCTAGCCCTCACTGTTTAAAGGTTCCATGGCTTTCTAAAAGAGATGGCTCAGTGGTGAAGAGTCTTATGGCTCTGGAAAAGGACGTGACCTCGATTCTCAGTACCCCTGTCTGCTGGCTCACAGCCATCTGAAACTCCAGCTGCAGGAGATTCTGACACTTCTGGTCTCTGGGCACCCACACTGACACACGCGAGCGCGCAAGCACACACACACACACACACACACTTAAAAATAACAAATATAAATCTCAGTTTTAAAGAGTGCTTTTAGATAAGGAGCATACATTGAAAAAAAAAACGTGCCTTTGGGGGACATTTCAGACTCAAACCGTAACACTTCAAAATTTAAGGAGATCTTGTCTGTATTCTTTCCTAGGGCTACTTCTGAAGGAGAAATGGGAAGCATTTGGCCTCAGACTCAACCATGCCCAGCAGCAAATGAAAATGACGGAAAATGCCCTTTTGTTTGCATTTGTGGAGGTATTGTTATTTATCAGCTGGGTTGATAGATGTTGGTCTGAAGGAGAGTGAAGTCTGTGAAGCGTTATTATTTGTACTGTCTTTGTTGTACCTGCTGTTACTAGACGGTGCAAGGTGAAACAGTGCTCTTCCCACTCTTTAGGGTTTTAATGAGCACAGGGAATATTTAGTTGAGGATAGTGGACTCTGTTACTTCACCTTTGTATGATGGGACAGAGTACAAGCTCCAGCTTAGTTGTCTGTGTGAATGTCTGCATTTGAGAAAATGGTGGGGTTTGATCAGTGCCTAGTTTTGGTTCCAGACCATGGTCATCTCCTATTTGCTTTGGGTAAGTATCGTCTTGATTAAAATAAGCATCAGTGATATAGAGCTGAATAAACATTCATTTTGATAGTCTTTGATATACTCTGTGATAGGCTGTGAATTATAAACTGTATACATTCTTGATTTGGAAATTTAGGGGTCTTGGTATGATTTTTTGGGGTGCTTTTTTGTTTGTATGATTTTGACAGTGTCTCATTGTGTTGCCTTGGCTGGCCTGGAATTCAGAGAGATCTTGGATCAAAAGCATGTGGTGCCACCCCTGTCTTGGGTGCTTTTAATATCTAATTGGATGTTTTCCATCATCTGAATTTGTTGTATGTTTACTTGTTCACCCATATAACTCTTGTTTATGTCATCCTACTTTGTAGGCTTAAAGATAGTTGACCATTTTGGACATTTACAGAGTTTACTTGGCCTGACACTACCAACTGCCTGCCTTTGTCATTTAAAGTATAGGTCCATTCATGGGAAAAATATGCCCTTGCCCCTGTTCTTAACCTTAGTTGTGTAACTGCTTTTGCTCACTGTGCCTTTATTTGAAATACATTATCTTCCAGGGTACCTTGGCTCAGGCTATAAAGAAAGGAGAGTGGATCTTGCTGGATGAGATTAATCTGGCTGCTCCTGAAACACTGGAGTGTCTGAGTGGTTTACTTGAAGGATCTTCTGGCTCTCTGGTTTTACTTGATCGAGGAGACACAGGTAGTATTTAATCCCCTTGGGGTTTGACTTGGCACCAAGTATTGGTCAGTTAAAAGTGAGATTCTTTTGGCTAGACATATTACATTGGTCCTCCAGTGGGATTTATTACTTAGGTAAAAAGTTCCTGTGGAAGTATATTGAGCTGTTATTAAGTGCTCTGGGGAATGCAAAGAAGAAGAATAATATAATTTGTGAAGGTATTTTAGTTGTAGATATGCAGACGCTGTCCAAATAAATACACACATAGGTCTTAGGTAATAAAAAAAATAATTAGAAGTAAACAAACAAACACACCAGAGAGAGAGGGAGGGTGTGTGTGTGTGTGTGTGTGTGTTTGCGCGCGTACCTACCCTGCTCTCTGTCTGCCTGAGAAGTGATCTTACTTCAGAAATCATGTGGGTGGTGGAACAGCCAGCACCAACTGGTCTCTGCATTGACCCTGGGTCCTGTGGCAGAACTTTTGAATGCTGAAAGTTGTTGAAATTTTCTAATTTTCTCGTTAGCTGAAAGTTGTTGAAATTTTCTAATTTTCTCTTTAACAGAGCCACTGGTTCGGCACCCTGATTTTCGTTTATTTGCATGCATGAATCCAGCTACTGATGTGGGCAAAAGAAATCTCCCACCAGGAATTAGAAATAGGTATGGATTTTGTTTTCTTTACTGGTAGTATTGACATAACCAAACTTTACGGTGGTTGAAATTCATTGGTCTCCTGATAGAGGAATCTTGGTTTCCTTAAATAAGGAAACTTCTCTTGTCTATGGCTTGTATCGCATTGGAGAATCCTTCTCTATTATTGTTTATTACTTATGTGGCTTCTGAGGGTTGATTCTAGGCTGTGTACCTAGTTCATTGGCTGTTAGTATTATACTGAGTGTTCTCAGTGGTGTTTTGTTTTTAGTATTTACAGTAGCTTCATGTTTCTTTTCAGTCTCTGTCTGCTATGCTCATTCCTCTCATCAGCCCGAAATACTGCTTTGTGTATTTCCTTTGGGTTTAGTTTTTTGAATGTTGTAAGGGTTTTGTTTTGTTTTGGTGGTTTTTGTTTTTAGAGATGGGGTTTCTCTCTTAACAGCCCTGACTATTAGAACTCACTCTGTAGACCAGGCTGGCCTTGACCTCACAGAGGTCATGTCTCAGCCTCCTGGGTGTTGGGATTAAAGGCATGCGCCACCACTGCCTGACAGATGTTAGGTTTTTTTAGGCTATTTATATCGTATAATGTTTTTCTTTCTCCTCCAATCACAGTAGGTAGTTGTGCTTGGTATATTACTCTAGACTGGCTGTCATAGTCTTTTAGGACTTGGAATGCATTGCTTCTGGCTCTTCTGTCTTTCAAATTTCCATTGAAAAATCATTTCAAAATCAATTGATCGGTTTTTCTCTATAAATAACTTGACTTTCTTTTTTTTTTTTTTTTTTGCTCTTGTAGCTTTCAATGCTGTTTCTTTGTTACATTTGTTCAGTGTTTTAAACATGATATGCCATGGGGATTTTCTTTTCTAGTCTTGGCTATTTGGTGTTCTATGTGCGGCTTCTATTTGTATAGGTGTATCTTAAGTTGAGGTACATTTTCTTCTATTGTCTTCTTGAAAATCTGGGCTATGTCACTGATTGTGATTGTCTCCCTAATCTTTGCTTATAATTCCCAGGTTGTTTTTCATGGTATTCCTCATTTCCTGTGTGTTCCTTTTCCTGCGGTCTTAAAAATGTTTTATATTTTTTGCTTATTTGGTTCCAGGTTGGCTACTTCATCTTCCGGTCCTGGTGATAGATCATCTGCTTGATTCAGTGTACTTGTCAGACTTTTCTTTGAGTTTTCTAGGTGACTATTAGTTCTTCAGTTCTTTGGTGTTTCTGTCTCCTGATTGAATTTCATTCTCAAGTCCCTTATTGTGCTCACCATTTCTGTCAGCCTTATGTTTCTGTGTTAGTGGGCATCACTTGGGACTTCCTTTCCTTACATTCTTTCTCCATTACTTCATGGAGCGCTTTCTTTCTTTCTTCTTCAAACTCTTTGAATTCTTTGATCAAGTGTATGATTGTTCTTTTAAATTCTGTCTCCTGGGTCTCATCTCTACAAGACTGGTAGGTTTTGAAGATAAGATACTTACTGTCCTAATCTCTCATATTGTTAGTGTTTTTCTGATGAGATCTAGGCATGTGAACCTTTCACTAGTTCTGTATCTGATATGGACAGAAGAGAGAATGGGCCTAGAGCACTCAAATGGCTTCAGAAGAGTGAAGTCAGGTGGACATGGGACTAGGCTGGTGTATAAGGTGTGCTTCCTGGTCCAATCCTGTGCTGTGGGGGTGGGTCTGGCTGGGTGGATATGACATGGGAGGGGCCTGGTAGAAGCCTAGAGGTTGACTGCAAAGGACCAGGCTATACCCTAGAGCAGTGGTTCTCAACCTTCCTAACATTGTGATCCTTTAATACAGTTCCTCATGTTGTGGTGACTCCCAACCATAAAATTATTTTTGTTGCTACTTCATAACTGTAATTTTGCTACTGTTATGAATTGTAATGTAAATATCTGTGTTTTCTGATGGCCTTTGGCTACCCCTGTGAAAAGGTCATTCAACCCCAAAAGGGGTCATGACACACAGGTTGAGAAACACTGTCTTAGAGAATGTGGGACATTCTAATTTCTTACTAATGATTAATAATTTTCTTACAGGTTCACAGAACTTTATGTAGAAGAATTAGAGAGTAAAGAAGACTTACAAATTCTTATTGTGGATTATCTGAAAGGACTGAGTGTGAGCAAGAGCACCGTGCAAGGAATTGTAAAGTAGGTTCTCTTTTGCTTGTCTTTTTATGATTTCTTCCAAGCATTAAAAAGTCCATTCCATGCAGGCACACACATTTTCATAATTTGCTTCTGTGTAGAGAAAACTGGTAGAAGGATTTGCTTTGAAATTGAAACTTTAATATGAATTCCCTTAGGTTTTTCTAAAGAAATTACTTATACCACCTATGAAAATAAACAGGTGCTGTTCTCTTGATTGCTTCTCTATTTTAACAGCTTAGTATTTAAATTCCTAAATAGTAAATTGCTTGTCTTTCATCTTTCTCTGTGTCTCTTTCCTATTTCAAATTTGCATAGTAGCTAGATGAACGCCAGAAGTAAGTTTGCTACTGTAAATTGAATTGTGGTGTGGGTTGGTGCTTTGAGTCTCTTTCTCATGTATTGAGGCCATGTGGAAAGAAGCATAGTGTTTTGTGCAGTCAGCCTGAGGTATAGTGTTGACTCAGGAAGCTAGAGACTGTCCTGTCATTCTGAGAAATTCGCTTTCCTCCTGAAGGGAATATAATATGGAAAGGGGTTGGAATAGAATATGATCTATTCACTTAATATTTATAGCTGGTTCCTCTACTCCATTCCCCGAACCTTTGGTGGTACTGAATAGCAAACCCAGGCCCTTGTACATGCTAAGCAGATGCTCTGTAGCCCTGGCTGTCCTCAGCCTCCTGAGTGCTAGGATTAAAGGTATGTGCCACCACGCCTAGCTGTTATACTTGTTTCTTCTTTTTTATTTTCCAACATGATATTTTTATTGTTTCTTTGGGGTTTTCATATCATAGACCCCTATCACATTTGCTTCACAATCCTTCCCTGTCCACCCCTCTACCCTTCTGACTTCCCCCCAGCAAAGAAAAAGAAAGTTCAGTTTGTATGTTCAATATACTCACTGGAGTGTGGTCATACTCTCAGTGCCCTGCCCCTTAAATAGAACTGAGTCCTTCCCCTTCCAAATCCCTGCTGGAAGCCATTTGTTGTAGAGAAGGACACTTCAGCATCCTATCAGAGTTCTTTGATGGCTTCCTGTTTCAGCTGTTACTATTTTGGGTGGAGAGGGGGGCAGAGAGAGGATGGAGGTAGGGTTGTCACAGAAGTCTTCCATGTCCCTCTTTCTCAACTGTGTGTCTGCAGTCATCAGTATCACTACCAACACAACTTAATTGCTCTTTGTCGTCCGAGGGAGCGTAGATACAGGCTTCCACATTGTTTATGGTGTCAGCACAAACTATGAACAGGGCTCCAGGTTGCAGTGGGGCCAGAGACCTAGTCCAGGCCCTCTGACTCGGATGGGATCATGGCAATCAGCAAGGCTTCAGCCCCAGCATCCCTGTATATCCACCCAGCCACAGTAAGACCACAAATCCAGACATAGCCCTTTGAGGCAGCACCGAATGGGACATCACCATGGCCTTAGATGGCAGCACAGGCCACTCAGATCTGTATGGTCCCCAGCGGCAACATAGCCCATTATCATCAACATGGCTTCAGGCTGCAGCACAGACCATGATCATCCAAGTGGCCTTCAGTGGTAGTACGGGCCACAGATATCAACACAGACCTGGCCACAGTAAGACCACAGATGCAGATATGGTCCTCAGTGGCAGCATGGGCCTGGACATTTAAAAAAATTACCATTGCCCTAGGTGACAGGGCATGCTATTTATGTCTGTGTGGCTCTCCGCAGAGGTGGCATTGCCCACAGGCATCAGTGTGGCATCAGGCTGTAGCATGGGCCACAGACATCAGCACAGACCTGGCTGCAATAAGACCATGGACTCCTGGTCATGGCCCTCAGTGGCTACAGGGACTGGGACATCACCATGGTCTCAGGTGGCAGCATGGCTTCAGGCAGCAGCACAGGCGAGGGACCTCTACTTGGCCTTCCTTGGTAACACAGGCCACAGATATTAACTCAGATTCCTACTGTAACAGAACTTGGGTCCCAGACATGGCCCTTGATGCCAGCCCAGACCTGGGCACCACCATGGTCTCAGGTGGCATTGCAGGCCACTCACATCAGTATGGTCCCCTGCGCAGCATGACCTACGGACATAAACATGAATTCAGGCCACGGCACAGGCCGTGAACATTGCACATCATTAGATGATAACACAGTACTCAGACGTCAACCCAGATCCTGGCCACATTAGAGCCACTGACCCACTCATGGCCCTCAGTGGCATCATAGGACACAGTGGTTCAATATCGAAAGTGAACTCAGGCCTCTGTTGTTGCCTTGAGCTAGGGTGATGCTGCGGCCAGGCGGTTTGTTCAGGGGCTGAGCTGGAATCTGCTTCAGGCTGCTGCACCATCCCATTGACCCCACTGGGCAATGACATTGATCCACTATCGACCTCAGCCCTCACTCATGCCCATCACTGCTGTCACCTCACCAGTTCCACCTCTCTCCACAGCACATGCACAGCTCTGCTCCTCCCCTCCATCACTCCCATGTCTCCATCATCTGTTCCTCCTCACAGTGGTGCCTGCAAGAGCCTACCGAGAGGGGAGGGTATGGGGGTGTCTATACTTGTTTCTTTTATACATACAACTATTTATTCTTTTATATATATTATAGATAGATAGATAGATAGATAGATAGATAGATAGATAGATAGATAGATAGATAGATAGATAGATAGATCAGTGCTAGGGACATGCAAAAACAGAAGAGCCAGCTTTAGTGGGACATGCTTGTAATTCTAACTCTTGGGAAAGCTGACTCTTGGGGATTGCTGTGAGTTAAAGGTCAGCCTGGGCTACTGAGACTCTCCCTTTTTAAGGGAAAAAAAAAAAAAGCAAAAGAATCCTGAGTCTTTTTATGGAATTTCTACAGTTGCAAATAGTAATTAGGGAGCTACAGTGAATAAAGCAAACAAGACATAAAAGTGAGACAGACTTATCAAATGAAGCACTAGAGTTATGTAAAATGTGTCAGTCACAGGGATTTATTTAAAGAACAACTGCCCTGCACATCCATGGGCAGGGGCTTGGATTTCATTTGATTTGTGTTTGGTTTCTTTTGTGCATGCAGTTGATCACCAGTCACAAAACTGCAGTGAGGGGTTCATATTTCAGTCTTCTCTCTTGGGAAGGATAACAGTGTTAACAATATATACCAGGGGTTCTCATGTCTCCCTGCTTTGTAACAGTTTCTCATTACTAAGATAGACAGAGCTGTGGTATTTGAAATCTCAGGAATTCTGTTTACGGTGTGTTGGTCTTCCTTTGCCTCTTGGGAAGAGCCTGCTCTGGAACACTGCATATGCATCAGTCTTTCCTTACTTTGTCTCTCACTTGTTATTCTCCTTATAAGACACAAGTTTATCACTTACCATTGGTTCCTTTTGGCTAATGAAGTAACACCTTGCATTTCCTGATTTTGCAAAGATACTCATTACAGTGTTTGAAAGAGACACTTCAAATTATGTGAAAAATAGATTTGTATAGATGTTTTGATGAATGCTGCAGGGTGTTGAATGTAAGCTCGACCATTTCTATTCTATGAAAATAGCCTTTGGATGCTGGGCAGTGGTGGTATATTCCTTTAATCCCAGCAGAGACAGAAACAGGCAGAGCTTTTAGTTCAAGGGCAGCCTGGTCTACAGAGTGAGTTCCAGGGCTATACAGTGAAACCTTGTCTAACTAAAAAAAAAAAAACTAAAAAGAAAGAAAAGAAAATAGCCTTTGCAGTTTCAATAGAGAGGTAGACAGCAGAAAAATAATTACTGTTTAATAAAACTGCCTGAACCTTATCCTCTTTGTAGCTTCTACACTGCATTGCGGAAAGAGTCTGGGACCAAATTGGTGGATGGCACTGGCCACAGACCTCACTACAGCCTTCGGACCCTCTGCAGGGCTTTACGGTTTGCAGCTTCCAACCCATGTGGCAACATCCAGCGCTCACTCTATGAGGTGTTTCTACTGTCTGACTGAGGAGCTGGGTGGATGGGTTCCCCATGAATGGGAGGGAGGCGGGTTGCAAATGCCGTGTCTGCCAGTGCTTGTCAGTCAGTTTGTCTGTGACATTCTGGACAAGAGCGACCCTGCTCTTCTACCACCTTATCACGTTAAAAAGTTGTTCTAGGCAAGGTGGTGTTGGCACACGCCTTTAATCCCACAGAGGCAGGCGGGTCTCTTGAGTTCAAGGCCAACCTGAGTCTACAGAGCTGGTTCCAGAGTAGTTGAGGAGGTTAAATTTTACTCCCCACATAAGGCCAGCTTGTATTTATCTGTATTTGTTTTCTCTCTAGGGCTTTTGTTTGGGTTTTCTAACACAGCTCGACAGGGCATCACACCCAGTAGTTCAGAAGCTCATCTGTCAATACATTATTTCTGGCAATGTCAAAAGTCTGCTGAAACAGGTGTGTTCTTTGGCGTTCAACTTGTTTAATATAGAAGCAAGGCAGAATGATCATATATTTAGCTATTTGAGGAACATTTCTTTTCTTTCTTTCTTTTTTTCATTCCGTGTGTTAGAGTATTTGCTGCATGTATGTCTATGGACCACTTGTTTTTCTGGTATATGGAGGGCAGAAGAGGGCATTGAATCCCCTAGAACTGGAGTTAGTGATGATTCTGAGCCACCACGCAGGTGTTAAGAATTGAGCCTGGGTCCTGGAAGAGAAACCAGTGCTCTTAATCCCTGAACAATCTCTCCAGCTCCTTGTAGCAAAACATTTAAAAAGACTATAGATGTGTATTTGTGTATCATCACTACTCCACACACAGAGGCAGTGTGACCTGGGAGAATGGAGCCTAAAAATGAGGTGGACTAAATCTCATGCAATAGCCAACTTCATTCAGAGCATCAAGCAATTTATACTCTGAGAGTTAAGAGGAGTCATCTGAGTAAAGTGTACAATCACAAGGACAAATCACATGTTCAAAACATGTTTTTCCACAGAGGCATGTAAACAAATAACAATAGCCAGTTGTAATGAATAATCCTAAATAAACTCTCTCCTATTCACTACACCTGGGAAGAGCATGAAAATACATTCTAAGAACAATTCTATGTTTTGAAGAAACTGAGGTCACAAGACTTGTTTTCTCACAAGCACTTAGAATTCTCCTCACACATCTCCATTATTGGATCATGTTCCAACAATGTATGTCTTAGATAGTGAAAATTTTACTTTTACTTCAGATTTAAATTCTATAGATAGCCCTTTCCAAGCAAAGTGTAACTGTATGTATTTGTTTTATTATATGTTTAAATTCTAGTGTGAGCTTATTGATTCATTGAGGTAAATTCTGATAAATATTTTGTATAAGTGAGGCCATTGTACAAGGATATTACTATGTTGCTTTCCTGGTTGTGGGTAGGAAACTGCTGGGATCAAACCTCGTATCTCATTCATGGTAGTCAAATACTTGACCCCTGAGCTGTATTCCTATCCCCAGCTTTCCTTAAAACAAAAACTAATGAATTTTATGTATGAGTGTGGGCACACAAGAGCCACAGTGTGCATGTAGAGTTCAGAGGATAACTTGCAGCACTTGGCCTTTTCCTTCTGAACTGAGTCAGGGTGGCTCTAATTCTCTAATGCTGCTTCTGTGTTGAATACTCCAGGCTAGTTGGCTTGTGAACTGCTGGCTGATTCTCCTGTCTGCACACCTCATCTCTAGGGGCTCTAGCATTCCTGATGATCATCACCACATCTAGCTTTTTACATAGGTTTTGGAGATTGAGCTCCAGTTGTCAGGCTTATGTGTCGTGTCTCTAACCTGCTTTTTTATTTAGGCTACCCATATCTTGAATATTTTTTTTTAATTGCCAATCATTGGAGTTTGTCTTAGTTATTGCTCTATTGCTGTGAAAAGACACTATGACCAAGGCAACTCTTTTTTTTTTTTTTAAGATTTATTTATTATGTATACAGTGTTCTGCCTGCATGTATCCCTGCAGGCCAGAAGAGGGCATCAGATCTCATTATAGATGGTTGTGAGCCACCGTGTGGGTGCTGGTAATTTAACTCAGGACCTCTGGAAGGGCAAGCAGTGCTCTTAACCCCTGAGCCATCTCTCCAGCCCAAGGCAACTCTTAAGAAAGAAAACATTTTTTTGGAGTCTTGCTTACAGTTTTAGAGAGTTAGTCCATAATAATCATTGTGGGAAGCAGACACGTACAGTGCTGGAGGAATAACTGAGAGCCCTACATCCTGAGCCACAGGCAGTAGTCAGAGACCTGCACCTGGCATGGGCTTCCTAGTGGCACACCTCCTCCAACAAGACCACACCTCCAAATCCTTCTCAAACAGTTTCGTTAACTGGGGTCCGGACATTCAGACATTCTCATTTAAAGCCACCACAGGTGTTAGAGGGGGTGGCGATACTGTTAAAAGCAACAACCATTTGAGTTTGATAGGATATTACAAAATAACGTCAGGCTTAAAGAAGCTGAGAAACTTTCCCTAACTTGTTTTTATTGCTTGCTCATTAGGACGAGAAAGACAGGAATTTGAAGTTAATTTGGATTCAACATTTTAAAAATAATACATGCTTCACTATTAGATGCTATAAAAGCATGAGAAGATAAAACCTCTCAAGTTTACTTTGTGTAATTTAACCTACAGACATCTTGGAATGGCTGTGCCATTGCCCATATTACCTGTTGTCTTAGGATTTCTATTGCTGTGATAAACACTGACCAGAAGCAAATTGGGGAAGAAAAGTTTACGCTTTATAGCTGAAGCAGACAGAGACCATGGAGGAGTGCTGTTTACTGGCTTGTGTCTCATGGCTTGGTCAACCTGCTTTCTTATACCATCCAGGACCATCAGCCCATGAATGTCGTCACTCACAGTGGGCTGGGCCCTCCCACATCAGTCATTAAATAAAATGTACCGTAGTCTGAATTAAAATACCGTCCTCTCAGATGTCTCTAGCCTGTGTCACATTAACAAAAAAAGAGCCAGCATATACATAAAGGGTCAGTTTCTATGGAGGGTAGTTTTGTGTCCTCTGGGTGATCCAGAATGTAGTAGGGTAAAACCTCTTCTCTCAGAGTACTGGCCCATTTTTGAAGAAAATGTTAGATATTTTTGATTTAAAAAAATTGAGCCTTTTACTGGGTGAGGGAATTGAACCACATATGTGAAAAAATATTTTGATTCTGTATTTTATTTTTAACTAAACCTTTCTACTCTTACCTAATGTTAAAACCAATTCAAAAAAATTTTGTTCTCATTCTTGAAAGTAATTGTGTGTTTATATTTAGCTCACAGGATTTCTGTGGAAGCACCCAGAGCAAAGTAGTGTTCTCAATAAGGACTTTACTCCCCTCTGAAAGAATGCCAACGTTGACATAGGACTGTGTCATTTCTCAGAGTCTTTTGTCTTTATAGCCTATTCCAGAACCCAAAGGTGGCCGCCTTATCCAGGTTGAAGGCTACTGGATTTCAGTTGGAGACAAGGAGCCTACAATAGATGAAACATATGTTCTGACATCTTCTGTTAAGCTGAACTTGAGAGATATAGTCCGCGTGGTCTCTGCAGGGTATGTGTGGGTTTTCACTCCTGCTACTATGATGTTCCTACAAGAGGCACAGTGTTTACTTAGCCTGCTTCCCTAAGCTTTGACAGAGCTTTGCTGGGACTCACTTGGCTAACTGAATTACTGCTTTCTAAAAATCATTGCCCTAGGTTGTGTTGTGGTTGTGTGACTGGTGGGAAAGACTTAAAGACGTGATTTTGACCATCATTGTAGTTGTTTTGTGTTTCTGGAGAGGTGGTTAAGTGGTTGTGAGTGCCTGCTGCCTGCTATTCTTTGAGAGGACCTGCGTCTGGTTCCCAGCACCCATCACCCATGTCTGGTAGACTTGCATACATGCGCGCGCGCACACACACACACACACACACACACACACACACACACACACACACATATGTGTATATGTTCAGCCAGGCATGGTGGTACACTCCTTTAATCCTAGCACACTGAGGCAGAAACAGACAAATCTCTCTGAGTCCCAGGCCAGCCTGGTGTACTCAGGCCAGCCAGAGCTACGTAGTGAGACCCTATCTCCAAACAACAACAAAAAACCATAGAACCTTCTTATTATTAGCATGAGTATCTAAAGGTACTCTTTTTAGCTTCCCTCCTCTTCTTGTCTCTTTTTCTGATTGCTTTGTTGACTAATGTTTTACAGAACTTATCCAGTGCTCATACAGGGTGAAACATCAGTTGGTAAAACAAGTCTGATACGGTGGCTGGCTGCAGCTACTGGCAACCACTGTGTGCGAATCAACAATCATGAGCACACAGATATTCAAGAATACATTGGTTGTTATACGTCTGACACCTCCGGGAAGCTTGTCTTCAGTGAAGGTAGTGTTGTTACTACACTGCTTGGATGTAGGTTTTCATGCTTTTAGACCCAGTTCTTATTTTTATAGTCTTTTCTAATTGAGGCACAAGAACTATATTATAATAGAAGATAGTTAAGGCTAATTCATAGGGCAGTGGAATTCCTGCATTGGGCCAAATTTTGAACAAAACAAGGTGTAGAGATTCAATGAGTAGGGTAAAGAGGGAGGTTTGGAATAGATAATGAGAATTGGTGATTTGATAAAACTAGATGTGAGAGAGAAAATTTAACAGGTTGAACAAGAGATATTTGTCAGCCCTGGCTTCTCTTGTGGGTAGGAAAAAACCATGTCAATTGCAAGTCTTATTTCTTGGATCAATAGTATCACAGATTGTTTGAGGCTCACAATTAGCTGCAGAGAGTAATTTGCTTGGAGTTGTAATGATTGTGTAGGACTTTTGGTTGTACATATACATTTTAATCCTTGTCATTTCCTCCTAGGGGTTCTTATTGATGCTATGAGAAAAGGCTATTGGATTGTCTTGGATGAATTAAATTTGGCACCTACTGATGTGTTAGAGGCACTCAACAGACTGTTGGATGATAACCGGGAATTGCTCATAACAGAAACACAGGAAGTTGTTAGGGCACACCCTCGCTTCATGCTTTTTGCCACTCAGAATCCCCCAGGGCTTTATGGAGGCAGAAAGGTATGTAACATTTGCTTCCAAAATCTGTTAATTATTACGTGGAGTGGTAAATTCCTTGTTAGGAATGGGACATTTTGGTCTCTCTTTGCATTTTTGTGGTGAATAGCAGGGCTGCTATTTTTGTAAATCAAATAAATAGGTGCTTTTTAAAAATAAGATATTAATTAAAGTGTGATTACATCACTCCCTTTCCTTTTTCCAACCACTTCCATTATCTCTTCTTCCATCCTTTTCCATGTTCCTCCCAAGTCCCTGTCAAATTGATGGCCTCTTTTTCTTTGTTTATTGTTACATGTATAGATATATTATGGATAGATTGGTAGATAGACAGAGGTACAAATACATAAATAAGCTGCTGAGTCTCTTTTGTTTATGTCTATATGACTTTAGGGCCGATCACTTTGTGTTGGCTATCTAGTCATGTGCTCATTATTAATAGACCTTTCATGCACACACATTTTATTTTTGTACATTGCCTAGGTGCTGTCTAGAGCCTTCAGGAACCGGTTTGTGGAGTTACACTTTGATGAGTTGCCCAGTTCTGAGTTGGAAACGATCTTGCACAAGCGATGTAGTTTGCCGCCGTCTTACTGCAGTAAATTGGTTAAAGTCATGTTGGACCTTCAGGTATTTCATGTCCTCATCTGAACTTAAATTTAGATGGATTACATTGATTAGCATTGGCATCACAATTTGATAGTTCTCTCAAGCAGGAACACGTCTGTCCATTTAGTTTTAGAGAGTAAGGCTTTTGTTTGTTTGCTGGGTTTGTTTTGTTTTGGGGAGATCTTGTTCTAAAATATACCTGTTACTATCCATTATTCGTATGTGTTCCAGGGGTTGGGGGAATTGAGCCCAGAGCTCGTGTGTGCTGTGCAGACTCTTATTACTGAGCTATAGCTCCAGCTCCTCTGTTTGTACTTTGTAAATCAGCACTTTATCATTGTAAATTTTTATGATATTTATAGGATAATAGTTCCCTAGTTGTGTATATTACTTGCAATTTTTGGCAAACTACTTATTTTTTCAAGACTATTTTTTTATGTTGCCTGGAGTAGCCTAGAACTTGTGACTTTTGTTTTGTTTTGTTTTGTTTTCCTTTATAATAAAGATATGAACCAACGAGCTGGTTCAGTGGGTCACAACACTTGTGCAAACCTGTCGACCTGAGTTAGATCCTCAGAACACACTGCAGCAAGGAGAGAACCAACATTTGAGCACTGATCTCCGACCCGTGCTTACAGATAAAATAGAGATGATGTTGGTTAAATCTGTGGTTATAACACTTGAGTGGCAGACATGATTACCTTTCATACTTGTCTTTTGTTAACTATAAAACTTCAGTTGGTTCCCTCCACCCCAAGGCTGGTGATAGATTCAGGGCATTGCACACACTAGTGAAATGTTCTGCCAGCCCCTAAGGTTTGTCAACTTGGGAGGCAGAGGCAGGTGCCTAATGTTCAAGGCGAGCCTGGTCTACAGAGTGAGTTCCAGGACAGCCAGGGCTACACAGAGAAACCCTGAGGGGGATGTTGTTTATCAGAAATTAATTAAATTGGGTTCTAGAAAGGTATTAATATTCTTGGTCACAACTTCATGTGTCTTGTGGGTTTTTGTTTGTGTTTTGCAACCCATTGGGTCCAGTTAATGCTGTCTGCATGAGCACAGGCAGCTTAACAGTATCCACTCTCCTCAAAAGAAATGATTCCTCCTCCCTCAGGAGTCATCAGTTGCCAGTAGTGCATCAGTTTCATTTAGAAGGGGCCTGTGAGCCCCTCCTTCATCCATGTTTGAATTTTGACTTGTTTGGTCTTGTTATACAGGTAACCCATAGCTGCTCTGAATTCATGAGTGCAACCATGTCAGATGTTAGCATTTCCCAGTGCTCATCCCCATCTTCCAGCTCTTGCATTCTTTCTCCCTCCTTTTCCATGATATTTCCTAAGCCTTTCTGAAGTTGATATAAATGTCCCACTTAGGGCTGAACATTTATAGTCATTCGAACTGTTATTAACTCTTTACATTGACTGTTGCTCACTATTAAAAGACTTTCTCTGACCAAGGTTAAAAAGGGCACTAATTTATAAACAAAAGTAGAAGGCAGATAACAAAATGTCTCTTTAGTAAAGTATCCATAGTAGATCGCTCCCTAGGACCTATGTCTTCACTAGCCATGGCTTTTGATCAGGTTTACATTACCCGGTATGAATTCCCTCCTGTGGAGCAGGCCTCAAATACTATCAGAATACAGTTAGTTACCTGCATAATCATGGCACTGCTGCATTAGTGGGTACAGTTTGCCTGGCAGATCAGTGCTGTGGCATTCTGTCCACTGCTGGGTAAGTTTATTACTCACTTTTTCTTCCCCAGCAAACTGTATAGTTCCCTTTTATACTCTGAAAGCTAGTTGGCAGGGAGGAAGTTTCCAGATCAGTCCCAACATAATTTCTTTGTCCTACAACCAAAGTATGCTGGGTCTTCAGTAGTAGGATTTTACCATCTAGTTATTTATAGCGGGCAACCAAAAGCAGTGGCATGTGTTGTGTTGACCAACAACTCATAGGCAGTTATCTCATATCTGGCACAGATCTTTTTTTATAACTCATGTCTTCTGAGAGGAGTGTTGTTCACCCATGCAGGTGCCTCTGTTCAAATTTCTTCTAATTTTCAGAGTTTTATTTTGTAATTAATTTACAAAGTAGTTGGTTCCCATAAGGGACTTTCCTGCATCTTTAGTTTCAGTTAATCCACCCTCTGCCCTTTCTTTTCCCCTTGCCTCTTGCTCTTTCCCACTTTATCCCCAATGTCCTCCTTCTCTTTCATATCACACATGTTCTGCTGTCTCCTAGCCCGATTGTCTTTTATCTTTCATACTGTTTATTCTCTTTTCTGTATGGGAGGTGGAATTTCTTTATTTATTGTTTTTGCATTATTAGTTTGAACATTTTTTCCAGATAATTGTAGGTCATTTGCATTTCTGAGAAGTTAAATCTAATAAAATGAATTTGTTAAAAAATTTATGTAAGATATAATTTATGCTTTCTATTTAGTATAGTAAGAATCAGTTATTTGTTTTTATACTTTAATAGTCCTACCGTAGACGGTCCTCGGTGTTTGCTGGAAAGCAGGGGTTTATTGCCCTTCGAGATCTGTTCCGATGGGCTGAAAGATACAGATTGGCTGAGCAGACTGAGAAGGACTATGATTGGCTACAACATTTAGCCAATGATGGTATGTTTTAAATCATAAAATGATGCCAGATGTGTTATTAAAACAAATGCTTTCCAATTTGTGTATGGTACATTCATTTTCTGATTTGTTCCAGAAGCGGCCTTTCTCCCTCAGCCTTCCTTGCTCTTGTCAACCATCATGGTTCTGGCAGACCTCTGCTTCCTTGTGGTTTTCTTAGTTTAGGCTGGGTCTTGCTTTTCAGCTTTGAATTGTCTGAAGTTCATGATTCTCTTGCCACCTCCTGTGAGTGCTGGGATTATAGACAAGAACCACTATGCCCAGCTTCTGTGGGTTTTCTAACCTACTTTCGTGGCTGTGTGTGGAAGGTGGGCTCTAACATGGCCCCTTTAGAAATTACACAGGAGATTGGTAGCTTGTTGCCTTTGGTGTGGTGACCAAAGATAGTCCAAACACTGATCTGGTTATTTTAGTTTAATGCATGGAAAGAGTTTATGTTATTTGCCATGAATCAAAGAACGCATTTTGTACTCTTTTGGTTTGGAAAGTCATTAGTTAATATGGACCTTTTAAAATAAGGAACATAAATAAAATCGGCCTGTGAGAGTTTTTTATTTCCCCCTCTGGTACTAAAGTGGTGGCTCGCTGGGGATTAGTCCTGTTATACAGGGTCATGGGACAGGATCCCAGCTCTGGGAGGATGGTCCTTTAGAAGGTGACTTCTGGCCACTTACCTTCAAACACCCTAATGGAAAAAGTGGTGAAGTGGGAAAGGAGTTTATTCAGTATGGCTATGCCAGGAAGACCTGGCTGGGCCTGGCTGGGGCATGGGGCAGACACACACAGTCTAATGTCTTCAGTCCTGTCCTAGGAGCTAATGAGCTTTTGGAGGACAGGAAGTGGGTGGAGTTAAGCAGTATCTATGGCCTGGTGGATAATTTCTTAGGGTTGATTACACAGTGCCCTGTCAGCAGTAAGAAAGTTGCTGCTGCCTCAGAGTGAATTTAAATCTGGTCAAAGAATGTTTATCCATTAGAGCCAGTTTGTTTTGTTTTGTTTGTTTTTGGAATAAAAGGTAGGACTGTAGGAGAGGACAACTCGGAGAAAGGACAAGGCTAGATGGGCAAGATGCTATTAGGCCTTCAAGGTTAGCACAATGGCTGCACACTTCTAGGAGCTGTCATGGTTAAAGGTGGCAATTGACAGTCTGTTGATTATGATGCCCCTGTGGACCTTGGTGATACCAATGCTCTATAATCCTAGCACTTAGACTGAGGCTAGCCTGGGTGGCATAATGAGACTCTGTTGGAGGGGATAGATAACACATTTTTATGCTTTTAAAGTAGTAACACATGATGAAGCATTTTTATCTATGTATGTACCCATGTAAGTCACTACTTACACTGAGATTTAGAGTATCCCCAAATCTCAGAAGCTTCCTTCATTTGTTTGTTTGAGGAAGGGACTCATTTTGTAGTCCATAGTCTAAGACTTGCTATAGCCCAGGCTGGCCTTAACTCATCTGACTCGCCTTTCAAAAGATCACAGGCTTGTGCTACCATGCCTGACTTCTTTCTCTTGTAAGTGGAGGTAATCATTTCTGATTTTCCCATGAGCTTCACCTACATGGGATCCTACAGTGTATACACTTTTGGTTCTGACTTTGTGTACAGAGGGACCATGTCATCCTTTTTCCTTAAAATTGTATGGCAACCCATCATAAGGCGTTAAACTCTCTTACTCATAAACATTTGGATCATTTAATTGGGCTGTTGTGAAGATAGCTGCTCTGAACGTCTGTATGTCCTTTGGTATACACACTTGCTCATTTGTGTTTGAAGTACTTGATAATCACATTATTGGGGTTTGGCTCTAGTGCGTGGCTGGGATGGTATAATGGGCTCTTCTCTTTCTCAAGGTAGTTTTTAGATCCCTGCTCCAGCAGCAGCGGGTGAAAGTTACCCTTACTTCATGTTCTCAGCATTCTTCACTATTATTACAAGACACTTAATTGTCCCTTTATTTCAACCTTCAGGTTTCATGCTTCTGGCAGGCAGAGTCAGGAAGCAGGAGGAAGCTGATGTAATTCAAGAAGTCCTTGAAAAACATTTCAAGAAAAAATTGTGTCCTCAGTCTCTTTTCTCCAAAGAAAATGTTCTGAAGTTACTGGGTGAGTAGACCCAAACCCCATAGGAACATGAATAAAATTGTGCTCATTAGAGCCTACAGTTCTATTCTGCTTTGACAGGTAAATCGTCTACCCAGTCAAGTCTGTTGGAATCTCAGTTCAGCCATGTAGTGTGGACCGAAGGCATGCGGAGACTGGCAGTGTTGGTGGGCAGGGCACTGGAATTTGGTGAACCTGTGTTGCTGGTTGGAGACACTGGGTAAAGCTCTGAAGCCATAGCTCATTGAGAAGTCTCAGTTTACTGCCGTGCGATCGGGGTTACATCTGCAGGGCTGGGTGAAGCACTTGGGAGTTTCTTTCCCTTTCCTTCTCACTGTTGTCTTCTTCTCTTTCCCTCCCTCCCTTTTTCCTTCAAAGCAAGATCTGTTTTTTCTTTACCTTCATACTAAATCCTTGCTTATGGAAACAAGTGTTTTCTCCTGTTGTGTCGTTGGGAACTATTTTTATCCATTTATTCTTTTAAATGTGTTCAGTAGGTGTGGAGAGCAGTTACTAGTGTTTCTTGGAGAGTCTCTGAGGATTGTGTTTCTTCCTCTCCCGTGATTTTGTTGGTAGAACTGAAGGAATGAAGTGATGGCTTTGTGTACAAAGGATGCGGGAGGGCACTGGTGGTCTGCAGAGGGACAGCATGAGCCTGGCTTGCAGGGATCCTCAGTTGAATTAGGCTTGTAATGAGATCTCATCGGCTCACCTCTTGCTGATACAATGTCTGGGGCTATGTAGTTGGAACAGATGCTGCTTATTAATCTGGTGTATATTTCTAATAGGTGTGGGAAAACTACCATCTGCCAAATGTTTGCATCCTTGGCAAATCGGAAACTATACTCAGTCAACTGCCACTTAAACATGGAAACATCAGACTTCCTGGGGGGCTTAAGGCCAGTGAGACAGAAGCCAAATGACAAGGTTTGTCTAGTAGCAAGTGTTGATATGTTTATTTAAAGAACTGTGGTTTGTGAAGTTCATGTAATTGGATTTGTAGTGGAAGCTCTAGTTCAGATTTATGTATGTGTGTATCACTTCACTGGTCTGTAGGGTATCTTCACAAATTTTTGTCCTTTTCTTAGACCCTTTCTTCTTAAAGAATGTGTGTTTTACCTCAGACATGTAGCTATGTGTGTATTTAACTCCTCCTGCTTCTTTTCCAAACCATAGGAAGAATCGGACACAAGACTCTTTGAGTGGCATGATGGACCACTGGTTCTGGCCATGAAGGAGGACAGCTTTTTCCTCTTAGACGAGATCTCATTGGCTGATGACTCTGTCTTGGAAAGACTGAACAGGTGACATAAGTGAGGGGCTTGTCTTTACTGATGAATTAGTTGACCTGGTTTTGGTCTCCTGCGTTTATTAATTCTCCACTCTTGGTGCATAGGAAATGATGGATGTGCAGGAGTTGCTGTTCTTTGGGCTTCAGGGATCAGATGGTTGTTTAGTTTGTTGTTTTATTTTTTCCCTCAATAATCAGAAACAATCAGTGTGGGATGATAGAGCTAAAACCAAATGAGCTTGAGTTAAAATGATTTTTTTAAGCAGATTATATGCTTACACTTCATTACTTAATATTTTAAATGAAGCTAGTATTAGAATCCTAACTTTGATAACTGTAAGGCATTTCCACAACCTTAGACCAATATTAGTCCTAATATAGTGGTACCCATTTTTCTCTCTTATTGAGGTATTGTATATCATGAAATGTACTTTGTTTATATTATAACTGCAGTTCAGTGTTTAGTGACCTTAACTGAGATTTTCAGTCACCACAGTCCTGTTAACATTAATACCATGTAGTTGGATCTCTCCTGAACAGTTAATTCTGGATTTTACCCCCATTCCAGGCAACCACCAATTAACTTTGTCTCTGCAGCTTTGCCTTTATTCTCATATATTCTGTGTTAATACTTGTTTCATATGTTATGTTCATGCATGTAAACGTGAGTATGGATGAAATAATCAGCATTTGGGTGTCTTCCTCTGTTGTTGTCCACTTTATGTTTTAGACAGTCTTTCACTGGTCCTGGAGCTCATCAATTTGACTATACTCTTGCCAGCAAGTCCCATGAATCCAGACTCAGGTCCTCCCTCCCTCATGTTTGTGCGGCAAGCCCCGTGTCAGCTGAGCTCTCTCCCCAGCCTCTGGAAGTCTGGAAGTCACCTTATAGCCCAGACTGGCATCCCTCTGGCACCCATCTGTTGTCAGTTGTTTTTGCTCTTTGGGGAGCCCACCACCCAGCTTCCAAATAACTCACACATGGAGGCTTATTCTTAATTATATTCTTAATTATAAACGTCCAGTCTTTGCTTGGCTTGTTTCTAGGCAGCTTTTCTTTTTTTTTTTTTTTTTTTTTTTTTTTTTGGTTTTTCGAGACAGGGTTTCTCTGTGTAGCTTTGCGCCTTTCCTGGGACTCACTTGGTAGCCCAGGCTGGCCTCGAACTCACAGAAATCCGCCTGGCTCTGCCTCCCGAGTGCTGGGATTAAAGGCGTGCGCCACCACCGCCCGGCTCTAGGCAGCTTTTCTTAACTTTAAATTATCCTATCTTTTGCCTCTGGGCTTTTCCTTTTTTGTTACTGGTTGTGTGCCTGGGTGGCTGGCCCCTGATACTCTCCTCTCTTTTTCTGGCTCCACCTTTTCTCTTTCTTCTCCCAGATTTCTTCTTCTATATATTCTCTCTGCCTGCCAGCTCCACCTATCCTTTCTCCTGCCTCGCCATTGGCCGTTCAGCTCTTTATTAGACCATCAGGTGTTTTAGACAGGCAAAGTAACACAGCTTCACAGATTTAAACAAATGCCACATGAACAAAAGTAACACAGCTTAAAATAATATTCTACAACACCAATCCTCTTGCCTCAGTTCCCCAAGTGCTGGGATTCCCAGTATGAGCCACCATACCCATGCAACTCTGTATTAGTGTTCCGAAGTTCATCCATAGCACAGTGTATGTTACCTGTGGGTTTCTTTTTGTTACTAATAGCATTGGATGTACAGCATCTTGTTCACCACTTCCTTGTTTGTTGGTATTTTGTTATTTCCACTTTGGAAATTTCCCAAAGTGGAAATAACAAAATAAATTGTGTAACAGTAAACCATTGCATTTAAGACACATTTAAAACCCATTGTCATGATAGTCCATTAGTAAGGCAGTCTAGAAAAAGGAATTGGTTTGTTTTTATCAAAAGTATGTTCCTAGATTAGTGAAATGGCTCTGGGTTAAGATCCCTGTGAACCCATTTGGTGAAAGGAGAGACCAGTGCCCAGAAGTTGTCTTCTGACCTCCACCTCTGTGCTCTGGAACTCAAAGGCCTCCATACATGCACACCCAAAATAAATAAGAAACTTAAAACAGAGAAGTAGGTTACTTATCGTCATGATGGTGCATACCTGTAATCCCAACATTCGGGCCGAGGATGGAGAGTTCTTGACCAGAATAGGCTACATAATGGACTCCATTACACAGACACCACTGAACCTGTTACCTCCTCAAAGGACTTAGTTTGTTTTTTAAAAGAATGTTGGCATCCACAGAATAGAGTACAAAAGCCTTTTCTAATATTTTGTCCCAATTTTTCTTTTAGTGTCCTTGAAGTGGAAAAGTCTCTGGTATTGGCTGAGAAGGGCAGCCCAGAAGATAAGGACAATGAAGTAGAGCTCTTGACTGCAGGGAAACATTTCCGGATCTTAGCGACCATGAACCCTGGGGGCGACTTTGGGAAAAAAGAGGTAAAATTCTTCTTGGAGCAGAATTTTGGTTTAGTTTTTTACTTCAGCTTATGGACACCCAAAATGTTGTACTACATCTGTATTAAAAACTCATAAAAATGTATGTATGATTATAATCACTATTATTGAAAAACCATATAGACATTTCTGTATTTGCCATTTCACTCTATGTGCTCAAGATGTCATGAATTTCTCTCTTCACTGACTTGTCCCTGTGAGTTGCTCTCATTCTGCCCGACACTTTAACTGTTCTGGGTTATACCTTGCTTTGAGAGACTCTCTTTCAGTGTCCATGTGTATTTGTGTTTGAGACAGAGTCTCTGCATAAACAAGCTCTTGAACTCGCTGCCTCAGCCTTCTAGGAATGTGTTCACAGATAGAACTTGGCTTTCTTAAATACGAGAGTGGTCTTAGGAGTGATTGCTAAGTGTCAAAGAGACGTCACAGCAGTGTTAGCCGTGGTGGTGCACACCTAGGATCTCAGCATTTTGGAGATAGGGGGTCTACAACCATCTTGAAGCCAACATGGACATGTGGTTTTATAGATAAAACATGTTTATACTCTTGCAAGTTATGTAAATCACCAACATTGTAAGTACAGTTCCTTCTTTTCAGAAGGTTGTGCTTAGAATCAGGCAAGAACTAACAATCCTATGGTTTTAAAAGCTCAGGGAGCTATTTGGTGAGAAGTGCAGAATTATGTAACTGGTCAATTATAAGAAGAAAAATGAAGTGATTTTCAATGAAGCATTACGACTCTTTAATAACTTGTTGGGTGCCTGAAATGTGAACATGTTATTTTTTTAGTAGTATCAGAAGAAAAGAATGTTAGTGTGCTTTAGAGATCTGGTTTCAGGATTGTTTACATTCACTCCCACACATAATGAACACACAAACACTTGAAATGAAAACAAACAATGTTGCATAGTTGAATACACTTAGAACAGTCTTAATAAGTGCAGGGTGCCCTATTAAGAACCCTAAGACCCATTTGGTTGACACCACCAGGGCTAGACCCGCATCATTCCTTTCCTGCAGGAAGTATATCGTATCATATATGTTGAGCTCAGGTTCTTAAACTGGCTTGTCACCACATAAAGAATTGTGTCAGTGAATGGGGGCGATCATGAAAAAATTTGTCAACAGTAAAGGGTTTCTGAATATATAAAGACCAAAAACTAATTCAAAATCAATACATAATGATCCCAAGTATTCCTAGCAACTCTCACTGTCTTGCACCACACCACTTCGCTGAAGTCTGCTCAGACACATGACATACATGCTTTGTCCTGTGAGTGTCACTCGCTTCTACACATAATATGGATGGCAGTGAATACTGCCTGATACACCTCTGCTCAGATTTAAGACCATTGTGTGCTGTGAACTCTCCTGTCATGCGTTTACTGTGTGTGTAAATATGGCAGTCTTACAGAAACAACTGGCTTAATTATAAAATAAGGAACTGTAATATTTTATAACAAAACACCCTCCCACCCACTCCCCAAAAACATCAACAGCAAAAAGATTGTTAATTTTCCTGCCACCTGCCAGGTTAGCTTACACTTTGCATAACACAAAGTGGCTGGCTACCTTTTACCTAAGGTAGAATGAGGTACGCTCTTAATAGAGCATGTACTAAAGACATTGGTCATAGAAGGCCAGTGTGAATGTGCGACCATGAACCTAGCTGAGCTGTTCCGTGATACAGACATTGTTCTTGACCTCTGAGTAATAGACCAGAGAGATGATGGTTACTAAGAAGTTGATGATGAATAACTATGCACCTGTAACACTGCAGACTTCTGTCTGTCACTAGCCGTTCTGAGTTTGGAAAAGGAAAGTAGAATGTAACTAGTAACAGAAGCTATCCAACGGCAACAGCAAAACAAATTGTTGTATGAGAGGTGAGATGCATGCCTCTTTGTATTTCCTCTCACTTTGAGCCTCAGGACAGCACTTCTCTATGGGAAGATAGTTGTTTGTGTAACTGAATAGAAAGTAAAGGGACTGACTGGTACTGGAATCCTGCCTGCCATTGCTACCACTTGCTCCTTGAGGCCCTGAAGTTCTCCACAGCATCAGTAAACAGGGGTGAGAATGCCAGTGTGAGGGTATCCTAGAGATGAATGTGGTAACATCTGTGAGGATCCGCTAAACTTTATTCACTAGCAGAGGGAATGAGAGAGGAGCCACTATTTGCTGGAGTCACTTCTTTTCAAAGGACTAGTTCTTTAACTTCAAAAACTTTTAATTCTCATTAGCCATTGTGTTTCTTATAGCTGTCTCCTGCCTTAAGAAACCGATTTACAGAAATATGGTGCCCTCAAAGCACAAGGCGTGAAGACTTAATTCAAATAATAAATCATAATCTTCGTCCAGGATTGTCTCTGGGCAGAATAGGTCACAAAGGTGAGTTTGCAGGTAGTATTGGTGATGGGTTGGAGGGGAGTGACAAGTCTTGTATGAAAATTATTTGTAACTTTAATCAGTGTGTTATAAAAATGAAAAAGGCAGGAATAGGACCACGGCAAATCTTGGGAAATATAGCATTTGACTCTTACCATCTCTGAAAGTCTTTTCCCAATGTTTTTCTCTTTATAGTTTCACAGGTTATTTGTATATGTATGTATGCGTAGTTTACCTGTGTGTGGACACGTGGAGACAGACTGAAGTTAGGACTGTCTGCCATTGTTCTACCTTACTCGCTGAGGCTCTCCATAATACACCAGTCGCTCTGGGGATCTCCTTTATCTCCTGAGACTGGAATTAGAGCAGGACACCATGCCTACCCAGCATTCATGTGGGCACCGGGGATCTGAGTATAGGCCCTTAGGTTTGGGTGGCAATCACTTTAAGCTCTGAGCCATATCCTTAACCCTTTTAATCATTACTACCTTGAAGAGTTTTTATTTGAATATTCATTTTTATGTGTCATCAGTGAATCTTTCACTCTATTCTGCTTTCAAGTGTTCATCTTACTATAAACACCTAAAAACAAAGGAAATCAGAATGATATTTAAAAACTCATATACAAGTGTACTGGAGTTGGCAAGTCCTAAAACATCAAGTCTAAATGGGTTTTTAAAGTTTACATTGGTTTAATGTGTTTTTTTCTTTCATTTTTCTTTATTAAGAAATTTTCTGCTCACTCCACATACTATCCACAGATCCTCCCTCCTCCCACCCCCCAGCCCTCTTTTCTAAGCCACCCCACATCTCCACATCCCCCAAATCGAGGTCTCCCATGGGGAGTCAGCAGAGCCCAGCACACTGAGCCTAGGCAGGTCCAAGCCCCTTCCCACTGCACCAAGGCTGTACAAGGTGTCACATCACAGGCACCACTGAAAAGTTGGCAGTACCCATTACGGTAGAAGAAATACCAACAGGTGCACATTCACAAAATGTCTCATAGAAGCTAAGAAGCATAGACCTTGCCTCCCCTCTGTTCTGGGATGTCTCAGAAAACAGTTACTTTTGCTTTATTCCAAGGAGCTGACATAGCTGAGGTGATGCTGGATTTCATTGACTGGCTGACTCACCAGGAGTTTGGACGAAAGTGTGTGGTCAGTATCAGAGATATTCTGTCTTGGGTTAACTTCATGAACTCAATGGCGGAGGAAGCTGCTGTGAAAAGGCTAGAGACCATCTCTCCTGTGACGTCTTTTGTCCACGCCGCATGCCTGGTGTATATAGACGGAATAGGTTCAGGTATGTTTTCTCTTGGGGACAGTGGGCTGTCAAGAAAGAAGAGAGTGGGAAAAGGGAACAAAGCCAGATCATTTATTTTTAGAATCACTTCAGTTGGATATTTCCAATACTCAGTCCCTTTTCCTCTTTATATTCTTTGAAAAAGTTAGCACTTTTCAGAGTGGTTAGCCAGGGAGAAAGCTCAGTGCATAAAGGAATTTGTCACCAAGAGTAATAACCTGAGTTTGATCCCCCAAACCCACATTGTAGAAGGCAAGAACTGACTCCCACAAGCTGTCCTCTGACCTCTCTATTCATGTGCTGTGGTACTTGTATATATCCCCCACCCTACCCCCCACAATAAGTAAATTGAGGAACCAAATGACGAACAGCGCTGTATATTGTCTCCAGATCAGTTTGTGATTGGGTGACATCAGTTCATCCCTGAAAACGCTGCGTTATAAGTTGAGGAGAATGTTGGATGTGCGTTCTTTTACCTTAGGGCTGCTTTACATTGGAAGCTGTATGTAGCCTGTAGTTCTGCTGCGGTCCTTTTCCTTACGAAAAGGTCTGAGCTGTCACTGATCACAGTGGGTTTGATGGTGCTATGCCCTCAGGTCCTGATGCTCTCTTATAGGGGTAACTTCCTCTGGGTTTGGTACGGCCCTCTTGGCTCGAGAAGAATGTCTGAAATTCCTCATAAAGAAACTTTCCAAGGTAGTCCGGCTGACAGAATGTCAGAAAGATGAGTTGAAGATTTATGATAGACTGAAACCCAAAGAATTCACTGGTGTGGATGACCTTTGGGGAGTTCACCCATTCTTTATACCAAGAGGTAAGAGTGGTTTTAAATAAGTGGTTACTCTCGTCCTGTAGCTTATAAAACTACTTCTGTTAGGGCTTAGTTTTGTGTGTGTGTGTGATGCAGGATTGTTTTTCACACGGTGAAGTTCTAAACCCCACTAAAGCTAGCAAGCCTGGAAGTGAACTACATAGCCCTGCTGTCTTATAATGCATCTTAACTGTAAATTGTATTATCTTACAAAACAGGTTTGTGAATCCTTAAGAGCTGGTAGTTTTCCTCAGTCTTCCCCTCTGGGCATCTGCCATAACCTGGCTGTTGTACAGAGACGTAGAAAATGTCTGTTCATGGAGTTGAGTAGATGAAGTAATGGTTAAATGAGAAATGAAGTGTAAGAGACAATAGATTTCACTTCTGGTCCTGGCTCTTCTGCTCGTTAAATTTCCTTTGCCAAATATTGTTCATTAATTTTGTGGTGCTAAGATTGAAGCCAGGGTCTCTGGCATGATTACACATCTCCTACAGCAGCACTCTTAATATTTATGACTGTTACTTCCATGTCAGTGTCATCTGTTGTCTAGTCCCTGCCTCTGTGAGTAATAATTATCGAGCAGATGAAATGTACAGAGGCACAGTGATAGTTAGGGAAATACCTCCTCAGAATTACCATGATTGCGGATTACCATGGCAACAACACATCATCAGTAGGTTAAAACCTGTCTCATGACGGTCTAAAGGATGTGTAGTTCTTGAAGTATAGTTTGTGAAAGAGATGTCGGCTGCTAGACCTATCTTTGTGGTGTGTGTGTGTAGTAAGTAAGTGGAAAGATGGTTTGTACTAGGCACAGTTGAGAAAAGTATGTTATGGGCTTCAGAATTCCTGTAAGGCATTTTATAGATCCAGAACTAGGAGAATCCTGAAAGAGGGGATAAACATGTTCACTCTAGTAGTACTCACTGATGGTAACCTATCTGATGGATAGATATCCTTGGCTTGAGAGGTGTATAGGATTTGGTTATACTCAGCTTGTGTCTCACTGTGCCTTTCTTTACTTAAGGACCTGTCCTGAATGGGCACAATATTGCTGACTATGCACTCAGTGCAGGCACCACAGCTATGAATGCCCAAAGGCTCTTAAGAGCTGCTAAACTGAGCAAACCTATTCTCCTGGAGGGCTCACCTGGTGTTGGCAAGACAAGTTTGGTGGCTGCATTAGCAAAGGCTTCAGGAAATACCCTGGTTCGAATCAACTTGTCAGAGCAGACGGTAAGCTTCGGCAACCTAAAATGCATATGGGATAAAGAGAAGTAGGATTGTCTGTCTACTTATAAGGATTTCTGATGAAAAATCATGACTCTTAGCACCAAAACTATGGCATGCGGGGATAAGTATCACAAAACTATCCAAACTAAGTCTTCAGCATTCTTCATAGCCAGCACCTGCAGTATTCTTCTCTTATTTAGATGTTTTAATTCCAGTTTTCTTTTGACAAAGAACTACTCATTTCTGTATGTAACCTACCATTTAATCTTTTTCCCTTTCTCACAAATCTTAGAAGTAAAGTAACTTTTTAAAAGTCTTATGAAAATGTGGGACAGAGGTGAAAAATTGATCAGGATCTGGGAGCAAGGCCCTGGCATTGTTAGTGCTTTTGCTAATGTTTGTGCTAAAGCTCCCTAATTAATCTTCAAGAAGAACTAATGATCTGAGCATCTGTTCAAGGAGATTGATACTTGGTGCATTTTGATCAGAAAATTCTTAGGGCATGCTTGGGCTCCTGGCAAGAGTGTCCACAATAGTTGGGACACTACATGAAAAAGAGAAAAGGTCAGGGTCAGGGAATGAATATTGTATGAGGTCCACCCAAGCATTTATCATTTGAGAGTTAATGGTTTTACGTTCCAGTGGATTTATTTTTCTTTCTTATGTGTTTGTTTTCTCTTTGGTAATGATGTGACCTCTTGTTACAGGACATAACTGATCTGTTTGGAGCAGATCTACCTGTGGAAGGTGGCAAAGGTGGAGAGTTTGCCTGGTGTGATGGCCCCTTGCTGGCAGCTTTGAAAGCAGGCCATTGGGTTGTGTTGGATGAGGTGAGCATCAGGACCAAGATGGGATCACAGATGGGTGAAAAGCAGTCAGAAGACGCAAAACCAGGTGTTTTAATGGAGGAGTTAGTTCATGGAAAGGACAGACCACACTAGTAAAAATATCCTTTAATTTCATTACTAGTCAGAAATGTCCCTTGGCAGAGTGCACATGCAGAAGGGTAATTCATTTTGTCTTCCTCAGTTCACTGGTATTCCTTTACTAAGATGTATTTCATATTGAATTTTCACCAGAGAAAAACTACATCTTTCTTTATTCTCATGTCTCTGGCAAGCTTGCCGTATTCACATTTATTTCAAAAGTGCTTTATAAATTGTGTCAACCACTTGAGGTTTTGATAATGCTCCAGGGTAGCTGGGAATATGTATATACACACACAATGACAAAAGTATAAAAATCAGTAAATGATCCAAGTTAGATATATATTTAGTGAATTACTCATCTGAATTGAAAGCCTATCATGAGACATGCTAAGTACTGAATCTTTTGGGGGTATTCAGTCTTAATTCAGAAAGTGGCTGGATAGGGATGGCAGTTTCACTGGATGCACACCTCTCCCCCGGTCCTAGATGACAAGGGGAGAGTTATATGAGAATCAGTCAGATGATTTGCTGTCTGCTGTTCAGGGCAGATACCAAGGAGAGACAGATACCCGTGGTTCTAGAGGGGAGCAGGTGGGAATATTTATTAGTCAGCAAAAGAGAAAGCTTAGATTTAAGCTAAAGGCCACACTCGCTGTATTCAAACTTGCATTCAGGGATTGCAGGACATTCTAGAGTTGGATACGCACTTACAGGAACTTTCTATTTGGGAATATTCAGAAGACTTCACTGTGCTTATAAGACATGATGAGGTTCTGGTAGAAATAACTCAAGATGATTGCATTGTAGTGATTTGCATTCTTCCATTTATTTAGTTTTTCAGTGTTACCTAAAGATCACTCATATCTCCTATCTGTGAGCTCTGACTCAGAATCTGAAGGCCTATATTTAGTTAGTTCTTTTCATTCTTTATGTCCCCAATCACAAAACTATTGTTGAACATTAACTCTAGTGTAGTTGGGTGTTTCTTGTCCCAACTCTTTGTTCCCAAATACCTAGCATCCGCTTCCCAAATAACCACACAGAAGCCTATATTAATTATAAATGCTCAGCTGATAGCTCAGGCTTGTTACTAGCTAACTCTTACACTTAAATTGACCCATAATTCGTATCTGTTTAGACACATGGCTTGGTACCTTTTCTCAGTATGACATTCTCATCTTGCTTATCTGCCCTTGCTGGTGACTTCTGACTCTCCTTCTTCCCAGAATTTTCCTAGTCTGGCTCTCACTCAATCTCTTCCTGTCCAGCTATCAGGCAATCAGCTTTTTATTAGCCAATGAGAGTAATACATAGTCATAGTGTACAAAAAGATTGTTCTGTAGCACTGTAGACCCACTTTGTGTTGTCATATCACAAAATTGAAACCCACTTGAAGATTTTGTTCAGTATTTGAGGGTGTTATTACAGAGACCAGTGTAAATTCATTATAATTGACATAATTAAATGTGTTTGGAAGATTTTAAAAGTTTTGTTATGTTTGGTTTTTTAAGTTTAGTCTGTATATTTCCATATCTTAACTTATATGTGGGTAGGATCAATGGTTTGCTGGTTAAGACACTTGTTTCTCTTTCAGAGAATGGCTGTTCAGTTTCCAGTACTCACATTAGTGGTTCATAACCATCTATAACTCCAGTTCAAAGGGATCCAAGAGCTTCTTCTGACTTCAGCAAACACCAGGAACACATGTGGTGCACATACATACGTGCTAGTACACCACTAATGCACATAAAATAAAATAGATAAATCTCAAAAAAATTTGAAGTCACATATAGGATTTATATTCATACATACTTGTAAAATTATTTATATATAATAAAGTTTACACCTACCCCAAATCTCTTACAATATATGAGAAATACAATCTGAGTTTCTCTGACTTCAATCAAGAAAACTTGACTACCCATAATTACCGCCTTGTCTTTTGTTCTAGTTATACACTGAAATAATGAAACAAATATTTGCACTTTCTCTTCCAAACAGCTTAATCTGGCCTCTCAGTCCGTACTAGAAGGACTCAATGCTTGCTTTGATCATCGAGGAGAAATCTATGTACCAGAGCTAGGCATGAGCTTTCAAGTTCAGCATGAAAAGACCAGGATTTTTGGTTGTCAAAATCCCTTTAGACAAGGAGGTGGGAGGAAGGGCTTGCCCAAGTCTTTCCTTAACAGATTCACTCAGGTAAGATTCCCTGCTGCCCTGGAAACCAGTTGATGTTCGCATGTCCACTAACTACATGACAGAGGACTTGCTAAATGGTCCTCCTCCCCTGTCTTTATCCTGTGTGTACTGCGACCTGGAGACTTTGGTGTGTTGTCATTTAGAAGACAGTGAGGTTACTGCCCTTATAAGGACTTCATAAATGTGCTCTGGCATAGAGGCTGGTCATAATGATTTCAAATGATGATCTTTTACAGGTTTTATAATGAAAGTAATGTTTTTCAGGATTAAAATTGAGAATAGAAAAGTGACATGAGCTGGGCATGGTGTCACATGCATTTAATCCAGCACTTAGAAAGCAGAGGCACGTGGGTCTCTGTGAGTTCAAGGCCAGCCAGGGCTATACAGTGAGACCCTGTCTCAAAAAAAAAAAAAAAAATCCACGAATAAAATCCAGTATCCTTCCTATCATTAGCAAAATCTAAAATGTTATATCTTTATTCATTTTTGCAAAGGGATGTGTTTATACACATGCTTATATTAGTTGGTATTTTTCACAGTTTGATTAATTTAGAATTTTGAAAGTGCCTCTAGATGTTAGCTCTAATATCCTGTTCATTAATAATTAAGCATTTTTTGAGTATCATTTAATGATGTTTATTGTACTGGAGAGGTGGCTCAGCAGTTAAGAGCACTGGTTGCTTTTAGAGAGGACCCTGGTTGATTCCCAACATGGCTGCTCACAACCATCTGTAACTCCAGTCCCAGGGGATCTGACACTCCCTTCTGACCTCAACTGGCACCAGGCACAAATGTAACTTTTAAAAAAGAATGTTCATTATGAAAATTGTCAAATACAAAAAGGTTGGGTGAATTTTAAAGCAATCATGTTCATACTAACAGTCTGAATCTGAAAGTATTTAAGAATACTTGTAGGAAGTTGTTGAAAACAAATGTAATCTAAAAGTGAATTGCACAGGTCTCTTTTCTCTAATTATCTTATTTGCTAGATAAAGCTTAAAAGCCAAGCCTGTTATCTGTATTTTGAAACTAGTTCTTCATTCTAAGAAATTTCTAAAACTCAATTATTGCTCTTTTATGTTAAGTAGAACTAGCATATTGTAGGGTTGTCGTTTTCTAGAGAAAAGCATTGATATTGTGTGATGTTTGGGTTTTATAGGTCTTTGTGGATCCCCTTACAGTAGTTGACATGGAGTTCATTGCCAGTACTTTGTTCCCAGCCATTGACAAAAATATTGTTAAGAAAATGGTAGCTTTCAATAACCATGTAAGTACCAACTTGTATTTCCCTTGCTCTTTTAACTTAGCATTTCCTCAGAACAAGACTACCAAATTCCCGGTCTACCGAAAGAAAACTACGGTATTCTGCACATTTGTAGTGGGATGTGTGCTACCCCTTGATGGCTGTGTCCTTTCTACATTGTGGGCATAGCGGTGATGTGTGCACGGTCTTCTTGGCCTTTGGAAGTTTAGGTTAGGAGGAGGCATTTGAATCAAAACTTAATTTCCACTTTAGATCCCTTATGTATATGTAACATAATGTTAGTACATAGTGCAGTGCTGATAGATACCATTTCCAATAAGCATGTCTTGTTTCTAGATTGATCATGAAGTGACTGTGGAGAAGAAATGGGGGCAAAAAGGCGGACCCTGGGAATTCAACCTCCGAGACCTCTTCCGCTGGTGTCAGCTGATGCTGGTTGACCAATCTCCCGGCTGCTATGATCCCAGTCAGCATGTGTTTCTAGTTTATGGAGAAAGGATGAGAACCAGGGAGGACAAGGAAAAAGTGAGTCTCCTGTGTCTTCATTTACCTTTCCTGCTAAAAACTGATTTCTTCTGAAGATAGAAGAGGCTCAGAAATTCAGACCTTGCTAGAACATATCCTAGCACAGTTCTGAATCTAGACAATTTGCTTCTGTGTCTATAATTCCCCATAGTCACGAACCTTAGACCAGAACTGTCAGGACTTGCCTGGTTTCTGTTTTCATCATGATTCAAATAGAAACAGGATGGTCTTCCATAAAGAGCTTGATCTCACCTGCTTTCTAGGTACAAACAAGAGAATTGCTGTAACCCAACAGAACAGAAGGATTTGCTGGGAGTTTTATTGTTAGGTTCATAATTAACTGTCAAATTATAACGTATTTTATCTAGAAAGCGTAAGTAGATATAAAGAGAAGATAATTTTTTTCCTTTTTTTTCTGTTTTGTTTTGTTTTTTGCCCAACAAGAGAAGTTAATTTGTATCTGAATGAGCTGTAAATACACCTTTGTAAAGAGAATGTGACAGTCATCTGTACCTCTGTCCTCTGACTGAGAGTTTACTATGTTGCCCAGGCTGGTCACAGTGTGTGGACTCATGTGATCTTCCTGCTTCAGTCTCCCCTGCGAAGACCACAGGCATGCTTCACCATACCCTGTTCTTGTGCATTTGGGTTTGTGCTAGAGTCTTACAATGACATCTCCAAACAGGGGTGGCAGGAAGTGCTGTCAGTCGTGGAGTCTTAGAGCAAGCAGAGGCAGTTGATAGGGTGGACCCAGTTTAGGTGCTCTGTGCTTTGCCCGCTGTTATCTTCTACTAAATCTCACCATCTCAAATGGAATTAATTGAGAAGAGAGAGATGGCTCAGGGCTAAGAGTGCTGGCTGTACGAACATGAAGACCAGAGTTCAGATTCCAGCACTCACCATAAGAAAGCCAGGCACAAATCCCCCCTCCCCGCCCCACCTTTAACCCCAGCACTGAATGGGGTGGAGATGGGGACTGCTCGCTGCAAGCTTAGCTACAAAACAGGCGCTCTGGGTTCATTTGGAATGTGATAGGGAAGACAGTGACACCCTCCCGGCCTCGGCAGGTCTACACACCTCCTTCCTCACCATTTCCAAGTTTCCCCAGTTTGTCTGTCTGTCTCTCTCTCAGGAAGTGAATTGATGTACATACCAGTCCATGTGTTAGAATCAGTAATTCTTTTGGACAAATGTGAATATGTGACAAATCACGTGGATTTCATGCCCCTCTTACTGAATTGCCCACGTTCACTTATTCATAGTGTTCAGAACTACTCAACTTATTTCCTACAAAATAGCTTTCAGTCACTGGATCAGGAAAAAATGTTCAGCTAATATATTTTTACTTTTTTTATTATTACATAATTCACATAGCATTAGCTAGTCATTTAATTTGTTGGTTTCACAATATAAGCATCTCTGAAAATATGAAGTGAGTGAAATGTAATTAAAAACTGCAATACTATAAGTGGAAGATTCCTCACCTGACCTTACATGGAAGGTCAGTCAAAACTTAGACATACTAGCTGCGTGGTAGTGGCAGCACACGCCTTTAGTCTCAATGCTCAGGAGGCAGAAGCAGACCGAGCTTAAGGTTAAAGCCTGGTCTGCATAGTGAGTTCTAAGACTACACAGAGAAACCCTGGAAGAGGCAAGCATAGCTATTGATTCAAGCTAGCCTGGTCTACATTGAGAGCTCCAGACCATTCAGGGCTACATGGTGAGACACTATCTCAAAAAAGAAACCATGGAACCTGGGGGGGGGGGGGGTTGGCACACGCCTTTAATCCCAGCACTTGGGAGGCAGAGGCAGGTGAATCTCTGTGAGTTCAAAGGCCATTCTCGTCTACAGAGTGAGTTCCAGGAGAGCCAGGATTGTTTCACAGAGAAACCCTGTCTCACACCCCCCTCCCCCAAAAGAAAGAAACCACGGGCAATACTAAAAACATCAAATTACCTTCATGCTAAATATTTAGGGTATTGTTGAAACTTGAATGTTTAGACTTGTCTCATATTAGCCAGATGTCTTCTGTATATGCAAATAAAGAACTGGACATTTGGACCATTTCTGGTCACGAGCACTTAAGCTGAACACTCAGCCTACAGTACATTGACTGGCACGAAATACTCACCAGTTTTCCAGTGGCTTGCTGAGGTCTGAGGAGAGTTTCCACACTCCTCCATTTCAGAATTGCTCTAATTGACCAAACTAGGGGGGTTGAATAAAAGATGATGAAAAGTAAAAATAGTGAACATTGAGGTATGAAAGACCCAGATAAATTGAATCTGGTTTTAAAAAATCAAAGAAAGCAGCTAGCGAGTTTATTCTGTTGACTCTGTCAGAACATTAGGGAAGGAGGTAAGCTTTAGTGTGAGCCAGAGACCTGTGACAGCAAGAGTTTGTCCTGCCACTTAGGACTTCACCTGCACTGCTCCCTGGTGATCATGAGCTCTCCTTATTTTCATTTTCTGACTTTCATATATGACTAAAGAATATTGATGCTTGTCAACTTGGAACAGTTTTGGGGGTGATTCTAATTCTTCTTCCTTTATGCTTGTTAGTATTTTCATTTCCTCTCTCACTGACTCCTTAGACTTTCAAAAGAAATCCGTTGATGAGTAGTTGATAGAAAGTGTCTAAAAGCAGGGTTGCGGGGAGTCTGTATTCTTGATTAGATGAATAGTTTATGAAGTGGAAATAATAAATTCTGCATTGCAGTGTTCTGGCTAGTACATTTTTCCTCATAATCTTTAGGTTAGTGCTGATGGTTTTTTTGTTAATGCTCCCCACCACCACCACACACACACACCACCCAGGGTTTTTCTGTGAAACAGCCCTGGCTGTCCTGGAACTCACTTTATAGCCCAGGCTAGCCTCAAACTCACAGAGATCCACCTGCTTTTGCCTCCTGCGTACTGAGATTAAAGGTGTGTGCCACCGCCGCCACCACCCAGCTGTGCTGATGTTCTTATGAAGTGAAAGCAAGTGTTTTATCTCAAGATTTGCTATACTGCCTGTGGCTTCATTTTATTTTATACTATAAATTTCACTGAAATCTCAAGTAGTTTGAGATCATGTAACTATTTAATTTTAATTTTATGTGTGTGAATGCTTTACCTGCATATATGTTTACATCACATGTATGACTGGTACCCACAGAGGCTAGTAGGAGAGGATGTTGGATTCCCTGGAACTGAAGGTACAGGCAATTGTGAGCTGCCATATGGATGCTGGGTATCAAACTGGGGTCTTCTTGAAGAGCAGCCAGTGTTCTTAACCACTGAGCCATCTCTCTGGCCCCATTACTCTGTTCTTGACCTCAAGTTACTTTTGCTGTTAGTGCACTTGATGCTTTTTGTTTTGGTTTTTAACTCTGGGTCTTGATGTGTCCGAGGCTGAACTAGCACTGACTATGTAGCCCAGGATTGCCACGAACTTGTGTTTTTCCTGCCTCAGTCTCCCCATGTTGGGATTATGGGATGTGCTACAATCGCAGCCTTATCTTGTGGTGTTTGTAAGAGAGCACTCAAAGGGAAAGGAAAGCCTTTGCTGCTGTTGTCCAAGTGCGGTGACTTGTCACCGTGCTTGTTCTCTGAGGATCCAGTTCAGCAGCAGGTAAGACTTTATAATGGTTTATATTCTCACTGCATTATCTTCCCTTAGGTCATCACGGTGTTTAAGGATGTGTTTGCTTCCAATTCCAAGCCATACATGGGGACTAGACTATTTCATATCACTCCCTATGACGTTCAGGTAAAGAAACTGGAATAACCCTTTGCCCTGTGACAGTTTTCCATGGCTTCTGTCTCACTACATATCACTGCCGTGTTTTCTTCAGATCGGCTACTCAGTCCTTTCTCGCAGCAGCTATGTTCCTCATCCGTCCCGCCGGCCCCTGTCACTCCTGCACCAGTCATTCCAGTCTCTGGAACCCATCATGAAGTGTGTGCAGATGAGCTGGATGGTCATCCTTGTGGGGCCAGCCTCTGTGGGCAAGACCAGCCTGGTTCAGCTTCTGGCACACCTTACTGGCCACACCTTAAAGATCATGGCTATGAATAGTGCAATGGATACTACTGAGCTTCTAGGCGGATTTGAGCAGGTATACCTGGTATACTTTTACATTGCCAGGCCTAACACAATACACTTGTGGCCTGTTGTGGGGATAACAGCATCCTTTCTTTTTGACCAGTGGCTTTTCATGTGATCTGGAAATTGCAGGTTGATATTATCCGACCTTGGAGGCTCCTGCTTGAGAAGGTAGAGCACACTGTCAGGGCACTGCTAAGGGACAGTCTTCTTAACAGTGCTGATGACACAGAAGTAGTGTTGCGAGCCTGGAGCCATTTCCTTCTGACATACAAACCCAAATGTCTTGGTGAAGATGGTAAAGGTGTCACCATGGAGATTGTCAACAAACTGGAAGCAGTATTGCTGCTTATGCAGCGACTCAATAATAAAATCAACTCATATTCCAAAGCAGGTATGTGCTTGTGATTATCATACGCTTAGCATTTCCCATCTTGTGTCTATTTATAGCAATATACTTGTGAATGTCGAATGTCATGTCATATATTTAATACGTGTAGTGATTACTGCTGAAGACTTGAATGTTAACTTTGGAAGAAAAATGCTGAAAGGAAGGATTTCAGATTGATGATACTGAAAAGGGAAATACAAAAACCGATTACCAAGCTCTGTTCTTCATTTTATGCTTACTCAGCTATAGGTCAATCCATAATATCCATCACTAACAAGTATTTTTTTGTTTACTTTTGTTTTTACTTACTAGTGCTTCTTCACAAAATGAGCATTTTCATTTTTCTCTCTGTCTAAGTCTGACTAGATGTTAGACACTGGTTTTAAGCTGTGAGGAACTGCATTATATTTTTTATTAAAGTCTGTTGGACTTTTTTCCGCAGGTAATAAATTGCCTATGAATCACTTTAATCTTTTTAAGATAGCCTTTACACTTTTCAGGGATGGGGAGGAAGAGCATTTCCTCTTGTGACATGACTCTGAAGCATCTGATTTCACTTGCTGAGTGCTCTGTGTATTTGCTGAGGTCGCTTCTTGGGCTGGTGGACACTAAAAAGAGACTCAGTTTTCTTTCAGCCCAGTCTTTATACAGGTGAATTTTATTTAGATGTGCAGGTTATTTAACCGAAGGCACAAGGTCCTCCTCTTCCAGGGACTTTGGATCCTTCTCTGAGAAGCCCCTCCTTTAAAGTCTGCTGCTGCTCTTTCTAGTTGCTCCACCTGGCCTCAGTTCACTGGCAGCTTTGGTTCCCCCAGGCCCCCTTTGTAGCTTTCTATAAAAGCAGTTACAGGACTTCATCTTGGTGGTACACCATGTTGTGCTACCTCTTATTCTTTCACATTTTCTCCCCAATTCTCAAGTTAAAAATGGGAACTTAAGTCTATTCTCATAGCTCAAAGCAAGAATCCAATATAACATAATTTCTAACAAAAATGACTATTTGAAAAATTCTAGACAAGAGCTGTTAGTGTTCGACTATAAAGTATTTATGAGCTATATCTATAGATAGATGGGTGGGTAGATATATAATCTCGCCATTCTAAAGGAAATCTAGTGGCATTAATTATACTTTTGTCAGCTTACAGCTCTTTAATAGAGAATTATAATGTAGTGGATGAGAGACCTTTCTTGAGACATTTTAAAAAATGAAACACACTACAGTTATTCACCAGAGTCAACCCTGAGTATGTAGTTATTAATTTGTAAAGTTATTGAAAGTTTTTGTCTGTCCTAAACATAATTTTATTATCTCTGTTTAAACAAGCGTTGGGATTTGTTTGGGGGTTATCCTGGGTAGGAGACTGAAGTGCCATGCTTTAACGTTGATTACTGTGGTGCTTACTCTTGTCTGCAATATTACAGACTTTGCCAAACTTGTCGAGGAGTTCCGGGGTTTCGGGGTGAAGCTTCTGCAGTCAGCCAGTGGCCGGAGCCATGGCAGCTTTGAGTGGGTTGACAGCATGTTAGTTCAGGCCCTGAAGTCTGGAGATTGGCTTTTGATGGACAATGTTAACTTCTGCAAGTAAGAACCCAATCATGCCCAGTTATGCCCAAACGTGAGTGGGTCTGCCTGAACTTGGTGTTTGTTGACTGTAAACACACACCGAGGCTCTCTGAATTGTTGACCTATTGGCTCTCTCACCTCGCAGTACATCTTCAGCTGTTCTTAGACTACCATGTGGTGCACAGTCTGGGCTGGTCGTTAGATGACTGAAGTAAAGGCTGAGAAACTTGGATTGCTTTTCCATACAGCACTAGGCCTTTTTACCTTAGAGATTACTTGTTAGGGTCATTTTAAGTACTGATTCTCTGAAATGCAGGATATGATATACACAAACGTTAGTAAGTATTACTAATAATCACAGTTCATATTACTTTTTATCCTAGATTGAGAAAAAGGGCAAGTAGGAAGTTGCTATAATAGAAGCTATTTCTAAGTGGTTTCAGTTGAAATCCAGTTATCTTCAAGTGATTTGATCATTTTAAGGGAGGAGGGAGAGAGCTATGTGGTGCTTTTTCCATGTTTTATTTATCCAGTAAATGTGTGTACTTTTATAAAGCTATGTGACTTCTGGAATAGGAATGAGAAAAGGAGTTGGCCCTTGGAAGAGATTACAGTGCTGTATGGAGTGGTCTCTGGAAGGGAGATGTGGGTCCAAAAGAAAGTGCAAGCTTGTGTAACAGTAGTGGAGTCATGGCACCATGCCAGCCTGAATATCATTTGAATTCTGTTTGTGCAGTCCATCAGTGCTGGATCGTCTGAATGCTTTGCTCGAGCCTGGTGGTGTCCTCACCATTAACGAAAGAGGAATGGTAGATGGAGCCACTTCCACAGTAACACCACACCCCAATTTCAGGTACTTCTATTTCTTTTTTTTT